AACGGACAGACTGGTGCAAACACCCAGACTGGTGCGAACGGACAGACCCAGACTGGTGCCAACGGACAGACAGGCACAAACACCCAGACTGGTGCCAACGGACAGACAGGCACAAACACCCAGACCGGTGCGAACGGACAGACTGGCGCACAAGGAACCAGTATGTATTCACTCAAGCTTTTCACATGAACATGAATATGAACAGGGCTGACTTCCTCCAGACGGCCAGCAGACCGGTGCTCAGGGCACACAGACTCAGGGAGGCGCTGCCGCTGCCGGTGGCAACGCTGCTGGCGCTGCCGCAGGTGGTAACGCCGCTGGCGCTGCCGCAGGTGGTAACGCCGCTGGCGCTGCTGCCGCAACTCCCTCAGCCGCCGCTGCTGGCAAGGGCAAGGGCAAGGGCAAGGGCAAGGGAGCTGCTGCCGCTGGCGCTGCTGGTGGTAACGCTGCTGCAGGTGGCAACGCCGCTGCAGGTGGTAACGCCGCTGCAGGTGGTAACGCCGCTGGCGCCGCAGCCGCCGCTGGTGGCAAGGGCAAGGGCAAGGGCAAGGGCAAGGCCAAGAACAACTAAGCATCTCACACCATGATCGCAGAGGAGTGAGGGCGGTGTGACTGGCTCACGGATCACTCTCCCTGTACGGATGAATTATGGGTAATGCTTGCGCGTATTTGATCTTCAACTTGCTTAATGAGTGTTCAGAGGAAGCGTAAATAATCAAGATGCTGAGTAGTTAGTTCAATGATGTTTAGCCTGCCTTGACAGTGTTGTATTTTGCTTCTTTGATTCTGCTTCTTGATTCATGCTTGAAATAGCGATGTTCGGCCGCTGGAGAGGTGACGTTGGCAGCCGGGGGTCGCAGGTCTCAGTAGAGTTTGACCTTGGTGTTTCGAGTCACCCCTGAGCCCACTGCTCATACACGAATTTTTGGATGCCGCGAACCCATGGTCCAGGTTACGCACGTCTTTATAGACGCAATTTTATTGTCCTGGTGGCTCATCATCTTTGCTGGTTCACAATGACGCCGCACGCAGAAGCTCACGGCACGCATCTTCGTGCGTGTTGCTCGGCGGAGTTCTCACAGACCGATACGTAATTTATTGAGGTTGATTTCAAAATGTGCTCATAATGCAACATGTAAGCGTGCTTGAATGACTGCATGAATCGCGATTTAATCAGGAAAGAAATCGCTGCGCACGTTCGGAGGGCTTCGACGCGCCATACGCCGATTGCGTTAGAAACAACGGAACGGTTTGAGCTTTACAGTGTGTCCGGATTCAATTTTTCGCAAGGGAAGCAATACATATGCTGGCTACGAGGTATTGCTGTCACGTGTCTGTGTTCGGGATAATCTTCTGGTTGGAGAGAGAATTCCTTGTGTGATAGAACTGATGCGATTCTGAACATGAGGCCCCTCCGGCATATTCCAATTATGCATTCTCAGTCAAACAATAGTTTGAGTCTCTACACACTGTACCATCCAATGCTTCAAGAGGAAATGCTCTTCTTGATGTGCGAGCGCACAATTGTATACTTCTATGGGCTTCGTTTCGCTTCCCACGCCCCCTACTTCTGGCAACTTCTATATAGGCTTTCTTCCTAGAATTTTTGCCACAAGCAGATCGAGAAACAATAACACCATGAAGACAGCGGCTGCATACCAGGCGGCAGGTGTAAGACCCTCGCAGATCTTTAGGCAGGTAAAAACTCTGCTCTGGCGAGCCGGTGCGGTGTTGGCTTTCTCGATGTCAGTGTTCGGGCCGGTGATGTTTATGGAGACTTTCGACGTAGGTTGAGCAGGTGAAGATTTTTCATCAGAGGGCGTGTATGCGGGTGGAAGTAGTGATGGTGTCTTGCTAGACATTCTGATAGCGTTGAGGTGTTGGTGTTGGTGCTTGAGGTTGAAGTGCCTTTGGGTGCAGAGGAGATCGGTGATATGAGATCGGATACCGTTGGTGGACGGGTTATGTTGACCTGGTACTTCGTACATATTATTGACCCGCCTTGGCCACCGCCTCCGGATGCAGAAGTTGCTGGCGACTAGTGCTCTTTGCTCGGTCATACTCCACTTTTTGCCTGTAATTAAAGCTCGTATCATGGTGTGGTTATCGATGATGCCGGCAGAATTATTATGCACCGCCAAGAGGTCGATAACCTGTACCAGGTCAATAACCCGACCACCTACGATAGTCAGGATGAACTGTAATTTATACGGGTTTTTTTCCTTGTGGGATTGCGCGGCTGAGCGCGGAGGTGAGCCACTGTTCAAGAGTGGAGCAGATCCCTATCGACGCTGGATGGGTAATCTCTCAGACCAGTAGTCGAAGCTACTACTTCGTACGCATACGAAGTAATTTGGAAAAGTGAAGCTAGCTGTTCGCTACTTGTGGAAAGCCTGTGACCAACGTGCGTTCCGACTAATTTGTGTCAGAGTCGGTACGATCGCAAAACTACGACAATGTAAAATCCGTTGCCAGATTATCGTGATGAATCTAAGTAACTTAGTAAGTGGTTTTTACTGTCACTCCGGATCGAAATTGAGCTGTGGTGCAGCCGACACCAATTGTCATCGCACTGGACCTTAGAGATATTTCCATGATTGTACGTGCGCATTCCAATAGCACAGGTGCAGCTCTCATTGCCCGGACTTTTGAAATTCAGGAAATGTAAGTGGATTATTTGGGAAAAGATAATAAGCTTTCGTAATGATGTTGATATGAGGCTTATCTCGGAATTCTCATGGACTGACTGAGGTGCAGATGGTATGTCGCAGTGGAGTGAACCACGCGCATATGCAGGAAGAATCGAAGGGTTAAATTGAAGTTGTATTGTGTGCAGCTACGAACAGTGGGTATACATGAGTGGCTGTAAACAGCGCTAGTGCAGGATAGGTAGTCGCATCTCACCAAAGGTGAGGCGCAGTTGCCTGAGGCAAGAGAGACTCAAATCTATGATATGATAAGAATCGTTCGATATTCTTATATGTGTTGGTCTGATAAGCTGTGTCGTATACAAAGGTGGTAACGATTGATTCGGTTCCATTGGAGGCACAAGCAGCCACTCATCAATACACCGCACTGTTGAGCTAACGGTCCAGATAAGAGTTACTCCACACAGGCTGATGCGACTTCAAAGCTTACAGCTGTTAAGGTGTCCATGATTGCAGCACCCAACATATCCATCTCACTGGGAAACATCATCAGCCCCATCACCCTGCCCGTGATCAACGACAGCCATAGTCCGGGATCTGCACCATAGGCTCTTTCTGCCCTTGGTATATCTGCATTTTTTCAAGGTGCAAGCCCTCTTACTAAGGTAGTTTTCGTAATTTTCAATGTAGTTCGGATTGGTATAACCCGGGCCGTAATAAAGTTTAGCAAACTCGATACTATGCGTCACTCCAACAAACACTTATGATGTATCTTTCAACAACGATATAAACGATCAAGAAGTGGGGAGAGAGTGAAAATCGAGTATCGCGGAATGAAGTCTCTTTAGCTGGACATAACGCTGAGGCGGATTAGACATCAAGTAGGTGGCGCGCGCCCACAAATACACAGAAGACTTCAACTGGCGAGTACAACATAAGCAGTAAGATCTTGATTGCAAGCGGGCCTGAAATTGTTCCACAATCTGGAGCAGTCTCTATATCGTATCGTATGAACGAACGAGCCTGGGGAATGTACGATGCTGCCCAGGTGTCGTTATAGTCCCGGCCCGAGTCGCATCTATGGACTATCAGTACTGACCCTAAGCACTCGTGAGTAACTGGTTCTGGGATAATGCATCCACAATAATGCGCAATGACGACATAAATAAGGGAGAGGACTACAGTATTTGGCAAGGGGCTGAGGTCACACGTGCAAGCCTCCAATACTGTCTTGGTGGGCTGGATAATTCTAGTAATAGCGGAGTATATAAAGGTGGTGATAAAGTATTCCTGGATTGGCGTATGTAAGAAAAGCTTTTGATAGTCATAAATTTGGGTATAGGCTGGAAGAATTCGCGATATAGCTACAATCGTAGGTGCGTAGAGGCGCAGCAATTAGAGCATCTGCACTTGCCTTAGATCTGGCCATCGTAAACCAAATCTGCTGTCGAATCATGAAGAAAGTCTCCCATTTACGCAACCAAGGGAGTTAGGCGATGGTGAGGAAAGGACATAGTATCAAACGGTGGCTGCGAAGACCCTTACCGTAGCCGTATACGTCCCGTTGGCAACGCTGTAAAGACCTGTGTATTTGGTAGGATTTGAAATGCCACCATTCGTCTGAGGCGTTGAGTTCTTGAGCGGAAGAGGTCCAATTATCATGCTGTCTAGAAGATTTGTATCGATCAGGGGAACTGTGTAGTGGCAGAAGCTCTTCCGATTGAAATCGACTACCCCCGTTTATTATGGAAAAAAGGAGCCACCTCTACACCCACCGAACATATCATTGCTGCGTAGCGTAGTCAATGTTTTGGGATGGCAGCTCTTCTATACTAGCGGCCTATTACAACATACCGTCAGGACGACGCTAATTTGCATGGGAAAGCCACGTCCGGCTCATTGCGTATAACAAGGAGGCATATCCTGCAGAAATCCACAATCACCTACATATGCCGCTGAATGTTTATGTGATGTAGTATCAAACCTAGGCGAGAATGTAACCAGCTATGTGCAACTCTGATTGAAGCACCCTCTTACACAATTTCAACACATCGCGAGTATATACAGTTGCTAGACTTTAACAGCTTCTTTCGCACAACATTGGCGCAGGAAACCAATACTGAGTCACGACTGTTGTCGAAATAGGCGCTCTAGTGCTCAAATTCGAAAGAACAACCTCACTCAAAACATCAACAGTCAAGAGCAGCATCGCACCCAGATCGAGGGAATCATTGAAAGTATAGGAACATGAGGCGATGAGCACTGCCGTGGAGAGTGAGAGTAGGCTTCCAGAATAAGACAAGGAGGCTATAAAAGTTGGAAACTCTCCGCAGACGTTGCCACTGGCCTATCAGCACGCTGTGTCATGATTTCGCCCTTATACACAAACTCTTACACAGATCTTACAGATTATACGTGATTCTTCTCCCTCCCCTTATGCCGCTCTTGTCCTCAGCTGAACGCCATGCCACTGTGCAATTTCTTCCTTCAACACCTGATTAACCAGCTTGTGTTGCTTGATCACCGTCAAGCCCTGAAATCTGGATGATTCGATCTCGATCGCGTACATGGATCCGCAGCCGCCGCTGATGTCTTGGACCTAAAGTCTGGGTCAGCGTGCCATTCACACAGCATACTTCGTGCCATCTGATGCTACTGTCGCAGGTGTCGTCTCCGCACCATGACTTGTCGGCATGCCCTTCTCGTTCATCCCTCAACTCGTATCCCGAGTCTGACAACGGACATAGCCGTGGCCCCAAGCGCTTTGTGATAGATGACGTGCGTCTCAACACTTTCGCGTACACCGTTCGCCAGCACTCAGGCCTCCCTCCCAGCAGCAAGTCCACGCACCTCGAGTTTTGTGGGTTCCAGCTCTCCTTTGATCTTGTTGAAGACATGCAGTTCTGCCTCGTTCAAGAAGTCCGGGGGTTCTGGCGCGCCGCTTGCTTCTGTACTATATGCTTGGCTAGGTGCGTTCGTGGTCTGAAGTCGCGGTACCGCGGTCGCACGTATGCACTGAGGTCTGACGGCTGTCGCTGATGTCGAGAGGAGACGCGTGCTGGCGCGCATGCGAATCTGGGGCTGTACGCACGCGGAGGCTATGCGGCGAATAAGCATTGCTCTGGATGGCGCCATTATGTGCTGCACCTTGTGTTATTAGTAGGCGCATTGCGGGGTGCATAATGCGATTGACATCTGTCTGAACTTACAGGAAAGCACGCGACTGTTTACGTGCGGAGTTGGATAAGCCTAGATGTAAGTCGCGAAACTTCGTCATAGCTTCACGACGCTCTAGCGCCCAATCACGTGGCATGCTTATCGATGGACTTCTAATCTCGAAGCAAGCCATCTCCGAGCCATCTTCAAGCCATCACCGATGTCCATCTTGCTGTTCAGCTCCGCTATGTCAAACCTTCCAATTTCATCATTGCAACAATGGTCCCTCGCGATCTCAACAGAAAGTGAAATCATCCGATCGTACCATCAAAAGCTGAGCGCGCATTATTGGCACAGATGCATGCATATCTGGGGTGCAGAAGGTTTACAAATCGAGGAGTAGGTGCATCGCTCACCGCCGGATCTGTAACATGTACCTCCAAGTATCTGGATGTACTTCTCCACCCTCCGCTCTCAGCCCCCGCTGGTTCGGCCCTTGATAACAAATACCAAAGAATCTGCATGATCCCACAGAAAGGTCTCCAGCATCACCGATGTATGCAACGACTCGCTCTGCACGCTGACAGCACAAATCATTTTCCAGGGTACAATGCCCACAGTTTCCCCGCCTGGCGTCGATGGCGGGGTGCAGTTGTGTCCTGACACTCTGGACTTCTCAGCCCATGGGCCCATCTCACCATATCACGTTTTGATCGACACAGCCCGGCGCAGAGGTTGAACCCCTCTTTTTCAAGACGGCAGGTCGAGACTGACCAGCGCTGGCTAGGGTTTGCTGTCACATGAAAGCTTCAGGGTTCAAGAAGCTGCTGGGGACCCCTTAAAGCGCTAAGACGCCGCGGAGGATTAGGAGAGCCGCAAGATCTGCACTGATGGTGAGTAAAATGTGCAGAGGGTTCCGTGGTACGTGTTATCGATGGTCGTGGTACGCAAGCAGACACGTCGTGGAAAACTCGTCGTAGTGTTGCAGAGTGTGACGTACGGTGGTGCGATCTTGCGGCCCGATAAATCCCAACGCTCAGGTGTAAGACCAGTCCATCAGATTCTTAGACACTCCCTGATGAGGAGCGGATATGGAGATGCTTGCAGCCTCGAGTTGTTGGGAATGGAGATAATGCTCCCATCTCCGTTGCGGTAACGCCCGTCCTCCTGCCCCAGTTCTTGAGTCATTCGAGCACACTGACACATCTAGAGTCTTGCCGAGAAACAGGACGGCCATTACGACTGTACCGACTGCCGGATTCGACAAGCGCCTTACGAACCTTGTTGTGCGCTATCTGCACCACCTGCTTATGCCTGCCGGCGCGGATCATCCTTCGAGCTCGCATCTCGTCGCTTTTCCCAAGACGTCATGTTCAAGATCGATGGCGCGAGTTCAGGACAGTTGATGGGCGAGCGCAGTACAGTGCGTGGCATTCACAGCGCGTTGAGGGTTCGATAGTTAAAGATGTTCGTACTCATCTCGAAGATTTTTGGCCCACCTTCAACAGAACATGAGGGCCGGCTTCCGCTGCATTGCTCCCTCGGGCCGCATCTCACATTGTCGTCGAGAAATAATCACCTCCGCCACGGATGTCTACACCCGTCGACGCAAAAACACTTCGCGCGTTTAACGCTCATTTCATGTCGAGAATCTTCACCACCTCACTACCATGCCCAATCACTGTTCCCGGACCTCGCCTGTCTGTAACTACCGTCTAGCGTCTGCCATCGCGTCCTAGCCTCTAGACCACCAACCCGCTGCCCTCTCTTCTAGACCAACTCCTGTTATCATGCAGGGTCCACAATCCCTCCATGGGGAGTGATGCCTTGCATACACAAGACGATGCCAGCGGCTCCTAGAGTCTCGCAGACCAAGAGCTGTCACCGGAGCGTCTGGAGTCGCGACGACCCACTCTCAACAACTGTGTCGGCCGAGGCTTTGCCGCCAGCAAGTATCTAGATGGTAGCGGCCGTGATGCATGCAGAGCGGTGGAGATGGGTCGGGAGTGAGATTTGGGGGTGTGGAGTCTGGAGACGGTCTTCTGTCTCCAGTTTTGAGAGTTTGGAAGTCGAGGTGCAGGCTGGGGTAATGTTGAGTCTACACCAAGCCACTGACGGTGATGTCTGGGTTGGTCTTGGACGACGAAGAAGTGTTCCAAAGATCTTCGCCGTGTAGTCAGTCAGTCGTTGTTTGATCTGCCTTACAATTTCATGGTACAGATCTCGTCCGGTGTTGGAAGATTTGCCTCCGACCCGTAGCGTATCATGTGCCGTCTTGGTAGACCCTGAGCTGCACGTAACCGCTCAAGGTTCCTTCGCGTCGCCATCGCCACCAACATCGATTCGAGACGACGGTTGATCGTGTGCTTGCAGCGCACATCAAGTTTCCCAGTTATTGACTCGCCTCCGTATCCTGCCCCAGCTTACATACGTAACCTCCACCCGCTGGTTGGCGTGCAGCCACATGCAGCACAGCATCACAGTGCATCCGGTCCAGATCCTGCTGTCATATCATCGCATCCTCCAAGGCACTCGAACCGCTCACCTCACCTATTCCATCTCTACTAACGGTCCACGGCCCACCTCTTTTCGAGCTCAGGGCCCAACATGTCTCAAAGCAGACTGTGGCTTTCGAGGATTTGGCAGACCCTGATTGTCGTCCAGCGCTTGTTATGCACGACACATATCAGTGGCCTAGGTGGTGGTGTGTGGCTCGTAAGCCGGAATCAGTGTTTGTTTGTTGGGACATTGCCACTCTGCCTACCCGCCACTACAACAAACACCGAGACGCTGCGCCCGAATCTGCCCTTATTATCCCTGAAGCTCTTCACACCGGTGAAGGAGCTGGCGTCATATTTTTTGTTGCTTACTGCTGTCGCCATCTGCGAAATGCTATGTGTCCTGCAATAAGGTATTAGGTGCGGTTCCCGCTGGTGGGGCAGTTGTGGGCGAGGTGTGCTAAGAAACGTAGGCGTGTGCATGCAGCCGAAGCGCTAAGCTGTATTGCGGGCAAGTGCCACCTGTTCGCCCACTTTGCGTGCAAGGACCCTTGATGAGGGTCCCGAGCGCGCTGTGACTCTAATTCATCACGGACCACCAGATGTGTTGTTGAGGCTATGAGGATGATTTCCGAACATGTTTTAAACTCCGCTTGTACGACCTCACTTGCTGAATGTCATCTTGGATGTCACCGTCAGCGTCTGTGGTCTTGGAACCTCAATGGTTGAGATTCTGCCGGGGAGCCTTGTTCGTTGAGCTCAGTGATTTGCCCGAACAAACAAGAGATGCAGACATGCGCTAATGTGCGCAGTTACGCTGGATGCTCGGAGATTAGTCAGTCGTGACCCTGATGGGTATGCTGTCGTCGTACAGGGTATTGATTTCGTCACGTGCTTCATGATCGTCCATCTGATAAGGTGATGCGGAGTAAAGTTGCTACGCAAGGTGTCACGTCTGGCCTGCGTGACACACACGATTAGCGAGGGTGTCTGCGGAGAACTTGGGGAGATATGAGGTGCATTCCCAATGCACGCCGCATGAGTACCCCATATGTGGGCCTTAGCTTCAAGCGAGCATGTTTCTCATGCCTATCAGACAAGCTTGACATGTCGAACAAGAATCTCTATTAGCTTATGCCGAGCCTGTGTGATATCGGCCTGTCGCCGACCTACCATTCACGGATTAGGAAGCGTTATGCTGCAAGCACCCCTCTTCCTTCCCGTCACACCTTACTTCACCTCGGACTGCTCAGCCCAGCCGTGCTTCGAGTGCATTGGACCCATGCGCCGATTATTCTGTTCTCTGGGATTCCATCGTTTGCGGATCTATACATTGTGTCTGACATACAGGAGGAGGTTACTGAGCGGGGTTCTGATGTTTTGTTGAGGCGGGCATGCATGCAGCATTTGTGGAGAAGGCGTGACGCCTGAGCACGTTGTAAGCGGTGGGTATAGAATTGCCGAAACGTAGTTCTGACTGGGCGATGCGCTCTCTAGACATGTGTCGTGCATGTAACGGTGCTCGGTAGAGCTTCTCATATTCTGCAACTGTACCGAGCCGACTGAATACACTTAGTTTGAAGGCGTTTATCATTATTGAGGTAACTTTTGGGGCGATGCAGATTTTGACGAACATCGGTGTGCAAAACGCCAGCGCCCCTCTGGTTTCAGATTGAACATGGTTGTCATCCTCGCTCGAGAACCATCCTCGCCTGCGGTTTGGACCTGTCTTCGTCAGCGCCTTCGAAATTTGGCTTGTTGGCTCTGGGCGGTCCGGTCCATGCTGCCGTCCACACCGTTCAGTCTCTTGTCATGGCTTCATACCCCGCAGTGAGTCCTTGTCTGGACCCGATAATGTGCACTGGACAGGAGTCGCGCAATGTGTTGTTGTATTAGTCTTATCAATCACGTCTGACTTGGGGAAGGCTGATGTTACACAATGTAACCAGCTCCCAGACACGGCTGATAAGCAGCAGCCATATAGTGACAGCGACAGACTGTACGCTAGGGTGGTCTACCCAAAAAAGTGCTCACATTTGGTGAGTGAAGCGATAGTGACCAGTAATCGTGATTCAACGTGTTGAATACCGACTTGATGCGCATACCTACCCTGAAAGCTCATGTGCCGGGATCATGGTTGCATGTGTATGTAATAATGGGCGGACAACGACAGGCCCGGCTGTGAGAGAAGCCGAGTCTACCGGCCCGACCATGGATGGCGGATGGCCGAAGACCGACAATCAAGGCGCCAGATGCTGATGACGTCCGGCACGGGTGTCCCGGTCCAAATATCAGCGTGCCAACGAAGAGATCGAGTGACAATGGTTGTGAAAGGGGCGAATCCAGTGTCTAGTTGCCAACCCTGTTCTTGGCTCTATTTGTCGCACCGATCAGACTTGGTGGGTCCGGTAGCTCGCCGAAGCGCTCAGAGCCTCAAGCTGGCGCACGAGCAACATAACATCACACAGTTGCATCGTGATTGATATGATACAACAAGTCACCAGAGTCCTAGTCGCAATTTCCTGTAGAGCACTACTTTTCATTGGACTTCATTCACTGTAATAGATGCGTGCGCGTCTTCATGTTCCGTGCGTTCCGGGGTAATATCTGGATCTGGTGTCAAGACGCAAGCATCCATGCCACTTACGGTGGCAGACGCGAAGCAATCGCCAAATCGTCGTCCTTGAACGCTTTGTGTCTGCACCTTGGATGATGATAAGACCTTTTCCTAGAGAGTACTGGGATCTCTGGTTCTCAATGGCTAGCATGATGATGTGCTTCAACATCCAAAGCCTTGGCCATAAGTCGACGAGTCCGAGTTCGACACTTTGCTGGAGTTTGGCCGGTTGGTCGTCCAATTCGGTCCGCCAGATCCACGATTTTCGTGTAGGGGCTTTGGCGGGAATAACATCCACGTCAAAGATCACGGATGCGACGGCGTTTTCCTGACTTTCTGACTCTTCCACAAACGGGGACGAGGGATCCCGTATCCGCAGAAATCTCTGATACGGGTGCTACGCATGGATAGGTCGTTCGCAATCGAACGATGAGGCTCTTGAAGAGCGGTGTGTGGCGGGCGGATCGCAAGGGTTAGGTGTCGCCGCAGGCCGCGTCCTTGGAGTTTCGAGCAAAAAGAAAACGTTTGTGCGGCTTAGCTCACTGCTACACATCATGATTCGAATTGATGGGATATTCATTTGCGGCCAAGCGCTGTGTGACATCATGCATCGTGAAGACCAAAATCGATCGTCTGCAACCCCACATTGACAAAGGAGATTGCTGTCCGTGTGGGGATGCAATTGGCGAAAGGACCACTTCGAGCAACGTGGCCTGACGTCGTCTTCCATCAGGAATATCTTTCGACCGCAAGGAACCCTCAAGGAGATGAGGCTTCGGGTTTAGCCTCACGTCTCTTGCGCGGTCCATGTGTTTGTGCGCTTCTCCTGTCACCGTTGCATGTACAACCATCGGAATAGAGAGAACTAGGCAGCAGCCAGATATCAATTTCCGTCAGAGGGTGACGCTATACCGCTCTGCTCAGGTCGAACAGTAGACGACATTGTCGCTCAGAACCCAGTGGGCGATGTACTTCCGGTAATGAGGAGCGCATTGACATGTTGGCGTGGGCGCAAGCGGACTCCTGTTCATTCGTGAGTTCCCTGCTTTTTGGTGCTTTTTGCACATTTTCATGGTAATGATACATCAGTCCAGTCATGTAGTAAAATGAGCACGCCTGCTGGTCGTCGATATTATCCCATGCCTGAAAGAGTCAAGGTCGTCCACATTTGTGAGTAGCCCAAGGCTGTATTCGTAAGTGCGGTTTGGTGGTGTGCGCCGCACAATTTGTTGAAAGTTGAATGGGTCTGACTGCAGCTCGACAGTGGGGATACAGCAAATTTCATCTCGAGAACCCACTGCTTTTGTCTTCGGTATCTGCGAGATGCGCGCTTGTAAGGCACTGTAGCCGTGTTGATACATTCCGTGCCGTCTCGTTCTTGCGATGCCATAGGCGGAGGGCAGCTGCAACAGGTATAGCTCCCGCGGTGCTTAGGTCGAAGCTCGAATCGGTGATCGACCATATGGCAATGATCGAGTTGGGAGCAACGGTGGACTCGACGGGGCTACGGACAGTCAAGCAATACGGACATTACAGTGAAATGAGTGGGCTCGGCCCATGCTGTTCTGCCAGGCAAAACTTTCTGACGGCTATGGTAGGTGGGGCGAGCTCGGGACGCTGACCAGAATGCGGGATAGTGAGGCTTGGATCTCTGGTCTGGCCAACATGAAGAAGTTGGATACAGGCCGAAGAGAGGCGTTTCATATCGCGATAGGTTGAGATTTCTCGAGCTCCTTCACCGTGTTTGATCGCCATCTTAAGATACCAGTAGCCTGTAGGTAAGACCATAGCGTCCACCTGCGGGTTGATTCGTGGGCAGCAGGCCATATTGTCATTATCGGCTCCCTCATAACGTCCCAGTGATAAGGGCCGTAGTGTGGTGGGAGTTTGCGGTCCTGGACAGCTCACTTGCAGTCGCAAGAAGTGATTTCAGGTGTCAGCCGCCGATGCTTTAGACTCGCGACAGGCCGGACAATTCATGACCAGACTTGGACGCGCGTAGACGCGCGCGCGACTTGAGCATATTCCAGGGAACACACGGAGTTGCTGCAGTGGTGCTGCTAAAGGAACCCCCTTTGACAGCAGCCTGGAACATGACCTGACAGGACCACTTTACCACACACAGCACATCCACGGTGTTGCACTCTCGCAAGGTTTGTTAGCGCATCTACGAATCGGACAAGAGCGACGCCTGAGAGTGCGGGGAAATTGATGAAGTCGCTCGCACCGGCGCTTTACTCGGCCAATGATGAATTTGTAGAGTTGCAGTCCCAAGGCTGTCGTGAACAGGAGTGGCGGTCAGCGAAGCATGTCCTTGCGATGTTGCCGTGCCATCTGTGCAGCCTGAGCGCGCGATGTCCCCCAGCCACTCAGGACTCAGGAGAGGTCTTCCACGCCCCGTGGAGGTTAGGACGGGGTTGCTGTGGAGCGTTGAAAAGCTGGGTTGCTATGTTAGAGTTCTGTGACGGCTCGCTTCTTGACAGCAAGGGTTGCTTGAGGTGTGGCTTTGGCGCGGATGTCGCGAGATGATTGATTGGTTGCTAGCCGACATGGTCGTTCGCAAGCGGCAGGAGCGACGATCGCACCACTGATCAGTACAGTTCAACCATAGAGTTGATCGAAAGAGGTGTGGCTGCGAGTACAGAGCCGCGCCCTGCGTGGTCCGATCATTCAGGTACCGCAAAGGCTTCGTTCGGAATATTCAACAGAGGCCAACACTTGCAGTACAGAAGCAGCTGGCCTCGAGGACGGGGAATGCAGCCGTTTGCATCGAGTGACATCACCACCTGGCGTGTGCGCAAGCAGAAGCAAAACTGCCACAACGTTGGCCATTATTGTCGTGCGAGGCTTGTGCTCAAATGCAAACATGGAACGGTCTTCGGTCAGCGATGAGGCTCAGTGGCGCGCACATGTATCGCACGGGTCTACAAACTTGCACGGACAGCGCAGCAGAGGTGGCGTTTCTTGGAACCGCAGAGCGAAATGATGTCGACGTCCCCATCCTGCTAACCCCCGCGGTGGTGATCTCTCAGCCCATGTGGGCTAGAGTCGCGTAAGTGCGCGGACGCGATCAAGTCGGCGCCGCTCTCCAGGCGTGGGAGCTGGAATGAGCATGACTGAGGAGTGCTTGCGGGCGGCTTCATGCGAACCTACTCGCCGCTGCGCGGCTTTGGACGATGAAGTCCTGTTCCACCGTTTCGAGTTGCGGCCGTGCCAGACGTGCCGCATCCGCTGCGCTGGGGAGATTGTGGGAAAGTCGGTTCGGTCTGTGACCTCGACTGATAAAGAAGCTGAGGCCGTGCAATCTGATGGCGCCACCGCCGACGCTGCTATCTCCGTCCCGGTACCGTCAAGTCACCGGCAGTCCTTTGTTGTCCCCAGCGACTCTGTGGACGACCCCGCCGACGGCGCAGCCCTCGACCATTTGCTCGCATCCCAAGCATCGGCGCGCTCGCAGCTCTCTGCTCCCGCCGCCTGGAGGCCTGTCTACTCGACCGGTTGCTGCCGCTTGGCTTGCAGCCTGCGCGCAAATCCTTGGTCTGTTGGGAGGTGGATCGTGCTGCACGCTATCAGCTCGCTTGTGCACTGGTGCTGCAGCTACCCTGGTCAAGGCCGTGCGGCAAATCCTTGGTTGCTTCGACGGCCTGGGTCCAGCGATTTTCAGAGCACATCCCGGCACAGCGACTGCCCCAATAGTCGCGGCCCTGCACCTCACCTGCGCTACCGCTCCTCAACACTCTCCCCTTCCCCGTCTCTGTCTCCAACACTTTTCTAGGCCTCTGCCAGCCTCAGGACCCTTTTAACTGGCCCGCCTGCAGTCATTGATCGGCTTCGAAACTTGCGGCCCTCTTGGTCTTGTCTCTCCACACCCCAGCAGCCTTGCCCTCGAGTCGTACTTTCCTCGCCCGGTATCAGCCCATCTGAACCCACGGAAACCACCGGCCCTGCCCCCATCGCAGTCTTTCACCGACCGAAAGCTGCCGCATCACTCGTCCCGCGCCCCCCTCACAGGTCCGAGCCCATCCGCGGTCTTTTCGACGTTCTTGCAGCTTTGACTAGCTGCGACTACCCGCGTCGCGACCCTCCTACGAGAACGTGCTCCCACCCGCTCTCTCACCTGATCCTGTGAGTGTTTGTCCGCCAGCAGCGCAGTGGGTGACGATAAGAACAACAAAAAGCACGACATCATCGATTGCTTTCTCGTCTCGCTGCGTCTGGAACCGTCCACTATCAGACAGTCGCTAATAGAACCCCAGACGACCCACCCACCTCGTAATAGCTCCATTCTTCTAATGCGCCCGCAACCCTAATACCCTGCACTTCTCTATTCGTTCTGCTTCCCTCGTCCCCACGAAGCCGACCGAATGCCTTACACACCGCCCTCTCAGCGCTCGCCTGCTTCGTCCAAGCCGGCCAGCCCAATCCTCTCCCGCAACCATTCCTATGTCGACACACAGGCCGCCCAGTCACCTAGGTCCTCGCAACGGCCAGCGCTTCCGCGCTCAATTTCGTCGACGTCGTACCTGCACAAGCACCGTCGTTCGCCCTCGTTTCCCATCACCAACCCCGTCTCCAATGGAACTCCGGTCGATGGCGGCATGGTAGAGTCGCCGACGGACGCTCGTCGAAGCCGCGGCTCTACAAAGGCTAATGGTAGCATCCGCCCGTCTCCTCTTCCTGTGAACGATTCTCTGATACCGTCAGGTGCGATCACCACTCCTCCTGACTCGTCGGACGATGAGGACCGGGGTCGCAACGTGGGCGATCTGAAGGATCTCGAAAAGGCGCTGCAGCACATCAACGTGAAGAGGATCTCCTCCCCAGAGCGAACCAAGGCTCCCACAACACCGTCCAACACACCTCAGCTCATGACAGCGGCACGATCACTGTCGGCCGAGGCACGCAAGATTGCTCACTCCCGCTCATCAAGCGAGATCATGCTCTCTAAGCACAACATTGAGCCACTCGATACCTGCCCAGTCATCACAACATCCTCGGACGACAGCGACGAGGAAGACGATGGGCTACGGATGAAGCCGCCGCTGCTTCGGAAGAAGTCCGGTGAGCTTGTCAAGCCTGCTCTTCGACCCGCCTCGCGACGCCGGCCGTCGAGCATGCCTGGCACGCCCACTTACTCCAAGGCTGTTCACTTCAATGAGGAGATTGAGCAGGTACGGCATTTCCTGTCGGTCGACCGACCGATTGCTGTCAGTGCTGGCTCGTCGCCTGTTGAATCGGCATACGAGAGCGAGAACGAGTACCCCTTCGATGACGACTCCAAGTCTAAGACACCGGAGTGGGAGATCAAGCTGGCCAACTGGCCCGCGACTGAGTCTTACGAGCGACAGACTGCACCTGTACGAGTCGAGCGTATTGCCCTTGCTTCGGACAACCAGACTCTTGTTGGCAACATCGCTTGTGCCAACATCTCTTTCCACAAGTTCGTCGTGGCTCGCTTCACTCTTGACTACTGGAAGACGACGTCTGAAGTTGTTGCTGAGTTCAATCACGATGTTCGTAAGAAGCAGGTCGATGATGGCTACGATCGCTTCAACTTCAACATCAAGCTTGCTGACCAGGCCAACCTTGAGTCCAAGACTCTGCTACTCTGTGTCCGTTACCAGTGCAATGGTCAAGAGTTCTGGGACAACAATAACTCGATCAACTACCAGGTTGACTTCTCCAAGAAGGTCAAACAACAGCAGCCCAAGCCAAAGCGTTCCAACAATGGTGGTCTTGGTTCGATTCCTCGTAGTCGTCACTCACCTCTGACGTCTCGCCCGCGCTCGGCTGCCACTATTGACGATGACTTTGGCCACGACTTTGAGAACAAGTTCCAGTTCGGCAGCTCTGGTCGCATTACAGGCGATGCATCGTCATCGACGATTCGCCTCAAGCCCAAGAGCAAGCAGCGCGCCCATATCTACCCTGATCAGGGCGCTCGTCGCTCCCAAGGCGGCCAGGCGTTCTCGTCCAGGTATGACTTCGGTGCTTCCCTGTCGGCTGCCTTGACCACCGCTCAGACTACCCTTGGCGACCGCAGCGGCCTCAAGGTCAACACTGGCAACAAGGGCTACTTCGATCGCCCTGCTCCTCTTCCCAGGTCGCACACCACCGGCGCCCCCGTTATCGGAACCCGCCCTGATGCGCTGTCCTCTGATAGCAAGCCCGATCTCCAATCCGCAGAGTACAACGAGTTGATCCAGAAGTTTTGTTTTGTACGTTCCCAGCCTCAACAACCCGGCAAATTGGCCTAGACGGATACTAATACGGCTTCAGTTCGGCACACCTACCGGCAAAGGCTCTCCCAAGGCCACAACGCCCTTGATCAAGAACAGCCACAGTGACGGGGCGGATGAGTACATCACCAGTGCTCAATCGTCTGCCACCAGCAGCCCGCCCTCGCCCGCTATGCCTGTCATGGTAGACGGTGCTAATGACATCAAACCTTCCCGAACTCCCTCACCGTTCCTAAGTCGCTCTACATCTCCCGGTCCCGTCACGGGGTCCGCACCTGAGGACCTTCTCGCCTCTCAGTATCAATATGGGTACAACATGCACGGTGGCATCTTCCCTGAGCGAAGCCACACACCTCAAGCATGTGTCTGAGCTGTGACTCACATCTCTCCGGGCAGCAAGGGACAAACCCTCACGCCTTACGAATCTTCTTGGACACGAAGCCACGCTTACGACCTGACTGATTTCGATACGTGGAGCGGACGTTGTTGGGTTACCAGCGACCGCGCGCTCACGAGTCTTGTTCTTTCCGGTAAATTGTCGTTGCCTGGCCACTGTTGTTTCTCTCCAATTTTCATCAGGGCAATCGGTTTTCCAGCATTACCTCCGGACGGCTTCCTTCGCTGCATTTTCCGGTTGACCTTATCGCACAGCCGGCGTTCCTGGGACTATTATGGCGTTCCTCGGTATTCCATCTCTTGCTTATTTTTCCTAAACCATAGATTGGTTTTAATTGCGCTATCGTTTCAGCAAACCTACTCTTGTTATGGAATTCCCGTCAGTCGTTTCCAACGGATGGGAACGGAAAAGTCTGGCTTGCATTGCATTTTGAGCGATTCCCTCATTCTTACAGACCTTCGAGTCTTCGTACATAGGCGGCAGGAGTAGGTGTGACAGAGAATGCGATCATGTTGTTGCTACTAGTCGTTGCAAATTGTCGTCATCGGTTCGGTCGCGTTGAGAGGATATCCCGTACGCTCCTTGTGGTGTATTTTTACAACGGCCGGAGTTGTTGTGGTCTGCGTCTGGCGGAGCTGTCATCAGTAGCTCAGATACAAAGCCAATACAAAACACGGAAACACTCTGTATATACTTCTTCCGCATCGTGATCCAGCTCCACAGTAAAGAGCCCTCGTGAGCACTTTTTTACCGCCCGACTGTGACGCCCTGCGGTCTGGATCGTGAGTTCCGGTCGGCTGACAGCAGTGACAGGTCCGTGTCCCGCCCACCGCCTTCCTCTTTCGACCAGCTCTGCCCCACGTAAACAACCATTGGACCCTAAACATCGTCACTTCTTACACCAACTTCTTTTGGGCCTCATTCGAGTTCCTTCCGTCGAGCATCGAAAAAAACGTGGAGAAATAGTCCCCGGACAAGTGCTCCGCGTGCACGCCAACGTCGAAGATACGAACCATGTCATTTTGGGGCAGTAAAACGGCTCCCCCGCCTCCACCACTTGCGCCGCCTGTCATCGCTGCTACAGGGCCGCAGATCGATGCTACGACAATTGTCTCGCTGCTCGGAGTCCTTACACTGCTCGGAGGAGCTTATGGGGGGAGCATCAAGATCCTGCCGCACACCACGACTCTAAAGACGCGTGTCTTATTCATCTGGCACCTGTTCGATGCGCTTGTCCACTTCGTGTTCGAGGGCAGTTTCCTCTGGAACTGCCTCTTCGTCTCCTACGCTCTGCCCACGTCCTTCACCGCGCAGGCCCAGGCGAGGAAGGTCACGCTGTTTACACCACCGGATGTGTACTGGCTGGGCAAGCAGGACTTGTTGTACGGCGCGAACTATGGTACCACGCCTTTCAGCAAGCTATGGCAGGAGTACGCAAAGGCGGACAAACGATGGGGCGGTACAGATTTGACGATCATCAGTCTGGAGTTGTTGACGGTGTTCGTGGCGGGGCCATTGGCGTTGTGGATATGCTTTCTGCTGAGCAAAGACGAAAAGAAGGGCGGGCTGAAGAAGTGGTTCTGGATGATTGTGCTGGCCACAGCAGAGATATACGGAGGTGAGCCACCTTTTCAATTTCCCCCCTGAAACGGTCGGTGGGGTGCATACTGTGTGCAGTGCACTCTGATTTGGTGAGGCGGATGTGTGGGTCCGCCGGTGGTGCGAAGTTGTGTTGCGTGCGTTGGCATCGGGAGACTGCGAGGCTGACACGTGGTTCACCGCTCCACCAGGCTGGATGACTTTCGCTCCTGAATGGTTGACTGGCAGTCCAAACCTCGACACGTCGAACTGGATGTACCTGTAAGTGGTATTTCTGTCAAAAAAACCTCCTATCTTTGCAGTGTTGTCGCTGCACCGCCAAGTTGGCGGTGCGAGCACCGATGTTCTTCTGCCACTTGCTTCGCGTCAGCTTGCACAATTCTTGTCTTCACAAGATGTTGCGAGGGGATTTCCGGCAGAAAGCAACCGGGTCTGCCCCATCCCGCGGATCCACGTACCCACTTCTCGGTGGCGATTCTCACCGAAGTCATGCTTCGCCGGCGAAATTGCCGAAGATCTTCCACTTCGCTGTACCAATCATGGCTACATTATTGATTGACCAAATGTTGAGCATCACTAACACGGCCGATGCAGTTATCTGTACCTTCTCTTCTTTAACGGCCTCTGGGTTGTCTTCCCGGTGTGGATCCTGTGGGAAGCATACCGATCTATCAGTGCTGGCATGAGCCAGGCTGAGATGGTCGACCTCGTAAACTACCTGGGCAAGAAGGACGACTAAACCAAAACCTCATCGCTTAAGCTTTGGAGACGCAGAAGATGGTGCGAATCCGGGTACACATTTGGCATTTCTGGGTGTAAGAAGCATAGCGCGGCGAATTTGCAATACTTGTCTGTGCCTCGAATTATTTCACTTTTTGCGACATGCAGCCAGAGTCACTGGCATGGTAATTGCCTCTATAGTTGTCTTTCTTCATCAGTTTGCACGCAACCCTCCCCCCACGACCCGGTACGTTTTCTTGAACTCTTTCCCTGCTTCCAACACCCGTCTGGAACATCGCAGCTCCGAGCCACTTTCCCCCGATACTGCTGCGTCTGAATGACCAAGACAACCAATGTGACCACGAGCCCTACAGCAAATATGACCTTCATGGTGGGCGATATTGGTTGTTTGACGAGAGGACAGAATCTGAAGAGTCCGGTACCACTCGGTCATTTCTCTCCTGAACTCTGATCCAACCCGCAAGCCTACTCTTACCGATCGAAGATTTACTCGACTCACTAAAGGGTGTGCGCTGGATAAACATGCTCGCATACACTTGCGCAGGAATTCGCTTGTTTCTGCACCGTGGATCGAGGCCTGCGTGCGCCACAGCACGAGACACTCTCCCCAACAAGCTCACTAGTGCCAGGAATATCAGTTCTATTGTGCTGGCTGCAAGGTTCGTCTCATGCGGCACTTCGTGAGTCTGCTCAATATGACCAATACCCGAGCAACAACCACAACACTCGTCGCAAACATAACGCCGCGCGGAACCCACGCCCCCCAACCACCCATGGCCTTAGTTCAGGAAGGGACTGCAGTCTCGAGGAGAACTCTGGGTGGCGAGGTAAGATTGGGGGTTGTATGCGGAGGTATTGTTTTCATTGTTGGTTGGGAGGGGAGGAAAGATGTCGCGTCTTTGGGTTAGGGAATCTTGGGAGTTGTGGAGGGGGTTTGGTATGGGTTGCTGAGAGTGGGGAAGCGGATTTGGAGTGAGCGAGTTCTTATTTTGATAGAGGGAGTGCAGAGGTGCGGATATTGTCTTTTGGGGGGGTGGGGTGTTGAGGCGGCGTGTGCGGCTTTCCATGGGGCATCTTCCTTTTCGATGTCTGGCATGGCTCTTTTTCACGTCCCCGGATGGACTGAGAGGTGGGAGTTGACTGGGCATTCCTGTGGTGCGGTGGGTGGAAAGTTAGTTCTGCGGTATTGGTAGTATACAGAGATGCAGTTTGAGGGCAGTGGTCGCCTACAGGGCGTTGCCAAGTTTCTTTGGTACGTGTGTAGGATGTGGACTTGCGCTGTGGGTCGATCATGGACGCTGTGCATGTCATTCGTGAGCCTTTGCCACTCCTGTGTCGTGAACGCAAGAGACGAATATGCAGCCGCGAACATACCGCGTGTAGAAGGGTACGTCTCGGTACCACTCGCATCGCGTTGTGCTGAACCCTTTCTCAAGTTTCATCCCTCCCAGCTCGCCAATGGCAATATTCGCATATATCCGCGCGAAAACTTCGTCTTCTGTACCGTGGTTCAAAGATATCCGCGCTCCATTGCATCAAACAGATTCCCGAATAAACCTCGCACGCGACATATAAGAAGTCCGCCCACTCCAGCCCTTTCACATACACCAAACCCGACTTCAAATCTTCAGGTCCACTCAACCACCAAACTCCAGATCAAACCTCAGGACCATAAACCACAACCCCAAACACCACAACTCCCAACCAACCAACCAACCAACCCAGCACCCCTAAAAATGGCCGCCGACTTACCACCATCCACCATCACCCCCATGAAGTACGCGCACACCCTTTCCGGCCCTCCCCTCTCACCTCCCACGCTCCCCTCGGACTTGCAGAAACCCACCCCTCCACCACCAAACCCGCCAACGCACCATCAACACCGGCGCCTCCTCCTAACCCTCTTCGCGCTGGCGCTGATTGCGCTCACAATCGCACTGTGCGTGCTCTTCAACTCCCCTTCGTGTGCCACGCATACCGCGGTGTGCCAGGACCTGCTTCCGTGGGCTCACGGTGACACGAAGCGCAGTCTCGTGGCGGTGCGAAATATCGGTTTCACGGCGATGCAAGAAAGGTGGAGTGCCGGGATCGTGGGGCTGGGCAAACGCGCAACCCCCAGCGCTCGCTACGATGATGATCTCGTGCTGGGAATCTGCGCGGGCGGGGCGGGAGTCGCGGTTGTGTTTGGGCTTGTGGTGAGCTGGGTTGTGGAGCGTGTGCGACGGGGCACTTCGATCAAACATAAAACCATCAGCGAGGGGGAGGCGGGGAAGGGGGCGTAGTGTAGTGTTTGGGAGGAGAGGGGGCTGGCGAGAGCTGGCTGGAGGGAAGGTTCTGGATCACGGTGGGAGTGAGGAGGAAATCGTGCGTTCTGGTCTGGGAGCGGACGAATAGCTTGTGATCCGGGCGTGTAGAAGCGTAGGACACGGTTCAAATCGCACTTTCTCGTGGTGCGAGGAGAGGGCTAGACGGACTTGGTAGCTTATCGGCCTAATATGTACCCTACGCTACACTACACTGCACGCTCCACACTCCATCTACTCTGCACCGCCCCGCACCACTTAAGCTTGCTGAACGACGAAAGGATTTACATAGATAATCGCGCTCCACCAACATCCCATATACATATTCATACATGTCACCCTTGCACCTGCACACAAAGTTCAAACAGCACGGCGAGCCGCATCACACGCCTTGGGTGTAGTCGGTCAGCTCCGAGTCCTCGCGCTCCTTCTGGTGCTCGTGCTCGTGCCGTTGGCTGCGGGAGTGGTGGTATTCGGCTCCGCGGCGGCTTTGGCTTTGGCTTTGCCTTTTGCGGCGGGTGCAGCTGCCTCGGTGGGTTTTGCTGGTGTGGGTTTTGCTGGCGTAGGCTTTGCTGGTGTGGCGGTCTTGCGCTTCGGCGCCGCGGGGGAAGAGTGCGATGGTACTGGTGTCGGCTTGGCTGCGCGGCCTCGCGAGCCTCTCTTGGGTGGCGAGGGCTCTGGCGGTGCTTCGGGTTCTTGTTCAGGCTCGTCTTCGGGCTCCTCTGACTCTTCGGCTTCAGCCTCGACCTCTTCTGCTTCAGCCATCTCGACGTCTTCTTCAGCCGCAGGCGTTGATTCGTCTGCCTCTTCTTCTTCCTCTTCCTCGTCCTGATCAACAGCATCCGCGCCAGCGTCAGCTGCCTCGTCGTCGCTGCTGACCTCGATGTAGCTCTTGCTGACATTACTCTTCCGCCCACTCTTCCTCTTCGGCTCGCTCTCAGTCGCAATGTGCCCATCTTCGCTCTCATCGTCGTCACTGGCAGCTCGCTTCTTCCTTGGTGTCTTGATCGGCCTTTCCTTCTTCTCCCTTTTCGGCCTGTCACCCTTCGGCTTCTTCTTACGAGCGCCCTCGGTACCATCGGTGGCTTTTCGCTTCTTGTTACGAATTGCTTTGCGCACCAATGGGTCCAGTTCCTCGACCAGGTCTTCGTCGATCCAAGTCCTCTTGGCGATATCTTGGGCACGTTCGTGCGACTCGAGCGCGCGGAAGATGCCAGAAGGCAGTCGCATTTTGCCGGGCCAAGATTGCATGGTCCAGTTGTTCTGCTCTTCCCAGGAGCGAATGAGGGCTTGCGAAAGATCCGACAGAACGTACAGATTCTCATCTGCTTGCTTCGACGGGGCTATGTTGTCGGCCACGCCCTTGACGCGTTGCGCGACGTGGAAGATGAGGGACAGGTTATCTTCTGTGGCAACGCACTTGAGGTAGTATAGAATATACTCTGACATGAGCTTGAGCGTCTCCGGCTCCGTGTCAAAGTCAGGGTGATGGGCGAGCAGGCTGAGAAGGCGAGAGAAAACGGTTTCAAGCACTGTCTCTTTTCGTGTTGCGAAAGCGGCACGCCGAGAGCGGATCCAAGTCAGCGTGCTGTCCTTCACACTCCGCTCAGGCTCGTGAGCGAAGAAGAAAAGAATAGTGTAGAACCGAGGTGGAAGGCGATTCTGCCCGAGGTACTTCATCAGCTTCTCAGCAAAGAGTCGGCGCACCTGAGGACATGGGTCGTGAGTGACAAGAGCTAGCTGTACGAAGTCTGCGGGCTTCAACAAGGCGTCCAGGCGCTTGTTGGTCGACAGCTTGAGCAATGCGTTCGCAGCCAGAAGCCTTTGGCGCGACTTGTGTCCTGCGGGAGTATCATTCGACTCCGATGCTTCACCATTGTCCTTGACAAGGCGGTTGAGCAAGGCGTAGGTGCTCGTCGCAGCCTCATCAAGATTGGCTTCGGATGGGAGAGAGCGCAGTCGGTTGATGAGTATCTTCAACGCCCACGTCCTGCCCAGAATATCATCGTCTGGGGTCTCTATCCATTCGACATCGGCTTCCTCAGTAGCCAAGTGCGGTTCGTGAAGGACTTTGCCGATTGCGATCTCGATGATAGCGTCCATGCTGTCCTCGCACTCGGCCTGAGCAAGTAGCACTAGCTGGCTGAGTGCAGCAAGTTTAGTCAACCAGTGATCGCCGTTGTACCTGAAGCCCTTGATGCTCTTGTCTAGGACCTCCTTGGCGTGCAGTTCTTTCTTGTTGTCACTGTGCATGATGATTGTAACGGCGTGCTTCGCTGCTTGCGCCGGCGCACCGTATTGCGCAAAGTTGAGGAAACTCTGTACCAGCTTGCGTCCGTCTTTCGCATTCATCGGAATGTCACCCGGGAACTTCTTCGCAAAAGCCGCGCATGCCTTCAGATCGTCGACTGCACCCGGGGGGTTGGGCGACTTCGCCGTGGGTGCCTCGTTTTCAAGAGTCTTACAGAGATCCTTGACGTGAGTGGAGAATACCTTCGGATGTGTGAGGGAGATCGACTTCAGCAGCTCGTGCGCTACGGCGCCGAGACCTTTGTCATCTGTGCGCGTGTATTCGATGATGGCGGAAACATGGCTCTTGTTGTAGGACAAGAAGGCGCATCGGTACAACAGAGGGTTCAAGACGTCTAGTAGCGCGGCTCCTGGCCCGTCTTCGATGCGCTTGCGTAGCTCTTTCTACGTGATGGTTAGACTGCAAGACAGGAAGAACGAGGGCAAACGTACGATGGATTTGAAGACCCTGCGGTAGTCGCTCGCGGGGTCGATACTGAAGCGTATCAAAGCATACGCACGACGGTCATGCGTCTTGGCAAACTTCCACAGCTCTTCAGTGGTCTTTGTCGAATCTGGGAATTGCTTGGCGTAGAAGGCAATGAAGCCCCCCAGTGTGGTCTTGGCTTCCTTGCCCTCTTTGCCAGCGACACCGCCATTGTACTGCTCGCAAAGCTGGAGGAAACGCTCCATGTATTGGACGTTGCCGACTTGGCTTTTTTGCTTTGCGAGAAAGACAACCTTGGCCCTTGGGCTAAGCCCGTGAACCAAGACGAGCAGCCGTTCCGTACGGAGCTTGTCGAGCTCGGCCTCGGTGTAGCCTTGACCACCGTTCGTTTGACTGTCCTTTACGACTTGCGAGGCACCATTCGTCGCCGCTCGTGGCTTCATGGGCGGGTATCCGAGTGGTAGAAGAGACTCGTACAATGCTAGGTCAATCTGGACATTGATGTCCACGTCGTTAACGTAACACGCCTCTAGGATCCTCGAAGGGATTGAGCCGAGCAAGTTGTTGACAGATTCATCTCCTTCGGCAATCGCACCAGAAGCCACGCCCCAGATGCGTCCAAGAAGGCCTGTTGTTGCTGAATAGACGATGCTCTTCTTGTCCTTGACTCGATCTGCAAGGTTGGACAGGATCGAGCCAGGCTCTGACATGCCGCCATTGCTCCCGAGCTTGCGGACAATGTCGTCGAAACCGAACAGCTCGACAGCTTTGACCGCAGCCAACCGCACCCTCTCGTCGCTATCGATCAGGCACTCGGCAAACGACTTGAGCAGACTCTGCTCTTCTTCAGGGTCCAGGCCGATGCCGCCAGCTGATGTTGTCAGTATGCGGCCGATGGCAGTTGTCCATGAAGCTCGAATGATGGGTGACTTGTCGTTCTTGCGCTGCAAGAACGAGTGGTAGGCAACAGGGTGTTGTGTAGGGAAGGAGTTGATGGAGGTCGGTGTAGTCAGGAAGTCGAAGGGTCGGTCCGCCTCTGAGCGCGCGAGACTCTGCGATGGGTATGCAACTGGGTCCAGCTGTGGCGGCGGCGGAGGCCCTGCCGCGCCAATACCAGAAACCATGTCTCCCAGCGTTTCCGTGGCCAGCTGCCGAAGCTGCACATTCTCTGTGCCCAGCTCGTCTACAAGATGCTGGACAATGTCCCGCAGCACGCCTGGAGCGCACTTCCACAGCTCTCGCAAGAGCCTGTGTGCCTTCCTCGCCTCGTGGATGTCCTCGTCAGACGGGCCCTTGGGCCCGTCTTCGTCAGCGTCTTCGCTTCCTGCGCGCCGCTTGAAGGACGGCCCAGAGTTTGTGAAGTCGACAATGACAGAGCTAAAGTAGTTGCCGACCAATCGCGCCATCTTGTCCTGGTTGGTGTTGCACACGCTCTTGGCCATGTTGTAGGCGGGTGGCGCATCCTTGCGGCGCAACGTTGTCTGTCTCGCATCGACTATGGCGCTCTTCTTGGCCTTGGAGCTGCCCAACGTGATGGGGTCGGCCCAGAGGAACTGCGCGACAATAATGTCCACGACATGGTGTGGAACAGCTCCAGCCTCGTCGATGATGGTAGACAGAAGTTCGGTCATGTTGTGCTCGACGTTCTTGCTCAGCTCCTCGGCCCCGTCATTGTTCGACGGGCCGGAGAGGACGTCGAAGCACGTAGTGAACAAAGCGGTCGTGAGCGCGTCGGCGCCCGGGAGGTCGTTGACGAGCAGGATGCTCTTCCACTCGGCGAGCGACCGCAGGACGTACAGGTGCTGGCTGTTGTAGGGGTGGGCAGGGTCGGCGAGGAGGGGCAGCAGCTTCGAGATGATGACGCCGAAGATTTCCTAGCAGGCGGCATTAGCATGGACCGGTGCAGCAGCCGAGAGTGTGCCGACCTTCAGCGTCTTCGCCGGGTACGGCGCATCGGGGGCGAACAGCCGCAGCATATCGACGAGACAGCAGCACGTCCAGGCGCGCACGCCCACGTCCTTGTGCTGCAGCAGACTCGGGCTGACTAATTCGGCCGCGACGGGCTCCAGCGATGGGCGGTGCGCCTCCTCCTGGTCGGTTGTGCGCAGCTCGTTCAGCAGCGCCTCCAGACGCGCGAGCACGTCGCCCACGCTGATTGGCTTGCCTGGCCGCCCGACCAGCGGCTGCTTGAACCTCAGCGGCCGCACGCCATCGTGTGCTTCTTCTGCCTCTTCGCGCTCGACTTCGGGCTCCTCCTCTTCTACCGCTTCGACCACCGCGGCAGCGCTGCGCCGGCTGCGTCGAGCCATGTCGTGTGTTGGCGCGTTGGCACGGGCAGGTGGCTATTCCAGTGTGGTGGTTGGAAGTTGGGCAGGTCGCACGCGTAGACGGGTGAGCGTTCTGCGCGCGCCGAGGGAACAGTCGAGGCGCGTCGCGCTGATGATGGTGCCGTTGATCGCTGAGAGACGGTTGAGGGGGAGCTGTTTCCGCGCCCAAGCGTGACGCGCTAGCAGGCACATAGATCCATGGACGCGTCTGTCCGTCAGAGCCCCACCCGCCGGTCGAGCCAAGGTCCAACCTTTCACCGCACCTCGTGCATCACCTCCATTGCTTGGCACCACACCCATCAACCGCCAAGGTCAGGTCTGCCAAGCGCAGATGGCCATGCCCTCCATACCGTGAACCTCGAAAGTTTGCATTCCTTGTTCTGAGATATCTACTTTCGCGCCTCTCCATGCTTCTACAGGCCGGCCGCAGTATTCACCGAAAAGCGGCAAGATGGAGAGACAGCAAGCGTTTCAACGAGTGAGTCGTCTCGGCACGTGCCGCTTTCTCGACACGTGCTCACCATCGCCAACAGCTGAAGCAGCCATGCATCGAGTTGCTGCAGGTAACGGCAGCACTGGCCCAGAGACAGAATGGGAAGCGCGAACTCGTCCAGGCACTCACAAACTTACTCGATGCTCTGACTGAGATCAGCGCAAAGCCACACGCTCTTGACGCCAAGCTTGCCGAGTATGCCTTTGTACCAGTCTCCCAAGTCCTCAGGCTCTCGCGGCAGGTTCCTGTGCGCGCCCTCGAACTTTGCCTCGATTGTGTGTCAGTACTTCTGCGTTCAGGGTGGGGTGGTGGTATGGAGCCGGCGCTATCTGGCCAGCTGCTGATCCTTTTTACCTTCCTGGCCAAGCCCTCGTCTGCAGAGAACGGCATTGCTGCGACATCAGAAGAACTGCAGGCGCTGGCGTTCAAGTGTGTTGGCGAACTCCTGGCTGAAGGAGCGCGCACAGCGTCCGGTAGAGAAGCGCTCACGGCCACCGACAACATCCCAGCCCTCGGCGAAGCTGTCCTGACCACCTTGGACAGCCTTGTTGAAAGTAGCTCGAACAGCATCAAGCTTGCAGCTGTCCATGTAGTCAAGGCTTTGACCTCCGCGATCGTCGACGATGATGCTTTGGCCAGCTTCTTGCCCAAACTGGTATCCTCACTCACCAAGGTTCTGACCCCGGGGAGCGCCAACAAGGCCGGCTACCGAACCATCGAGCAAAGCCTTGAGGCGCTGACACGGCTGTTTCAACGTCTCTTGAGCGATCGTAATACAGCAAATCTTCCCGAGGTACTCATCAGAGATGCGGCCGACGACAAGCAAATGCTGCGCTCGAAATCATGGCTGCAGGCCACGGCTTCTCAGATCAAAATCGCTCTGGCAAACATCTACAAGATGCGCAACCACGACAAGTCAGAAGCCCGAAAAGCACTCCTCAGGCTGTGTCTGTGCGTCATACGGGACTGCCGTGTATCACTTGCGGATAGCACCAGCATGAGCATTGAAACAGTCATCAGTCTGGTTGGCCGAGACGGATCGAAAGACACAGTAGAAGACGATTTGAGAATCATACTAGTGGCGGATCAGCGGCTCGTAGACGTGCTGCGCGAGTGCCTTCACGACTGGGTGGTCTCGTTTCCTCGTGTCATGCAGTCGAAGGATGATGGCAAACGCCGTCTCATCATCCATCAGATCTCAGTAACCCTGCGACTACTTGGACAGGATCCGGTGACCATTGACGACCGCTTGGCAGACGGCCTGAGAGACGGCGTCTCTGCGGTGCTTGCTGATTCAAAAGGCTTGGAAGAGGTGGGATCTGGAGGAACGGCAGGTTCCATGGAGACCGGCCTAATCCTGGGTCCCAGTCGGCAGTCAACATTTCAGCCGCTGCAGCTCCGACTCAAGGGCCAGCAGGATCTGATGACAGAGTTTACGATGCTGCTATCTCAAATGGCAAAATCAGATTCCGCACTCAATGTCGTCCAGAATCTCGTCCGGACTATCAACATGGGCACAGAAGAAATGCAGCTAGCCAGCTACTGGGTATCAGTCAATCTGATCAGGGATCTGACTGTCAACAATCCTTCGTTTGACGATTTCATCGACAGCGGCTCATCGAACCCGCGAGAAGAGCTCTTGGACGACCTCTACTCGCACTCTGTCATGCTTCTGACGGAACGAGATCCCAGTACGAATCTTCCCTGGCACTTTTATGCGCTAGCTCTGGAGACTGTGGCTCTGCAGGCTGGACGCTACCGGATGGAATTCCGCGCTGAGTTGGGCGAAGTCCTGTATCCCATCCTGCACCAACTCGGCAGTCCCAACCCAGCCCTTCGCGAACACGCAATCACCTGTCTCAACATCTTGTCCGATGCGTCCGGCTATTCCAGTGCCCGCGATCTCGTTGTCGACAACGTTGACTATGTCGTGAACGCCGTCGGCCTGAAGCTCGCAGTCGGCGACGTATCACCCCAGGCGCCTCAGGTCCTGCTCATGATGATGCGGCTCTGCGGTCCATCGCTCCTTCCCTACCTAGATGACCTAGTCGGTAGCATCTTCGAGGCCCTCGAGCGCTACCACGGCTACCCCGTGCTCGTCGAACTGCTCTTCTCCGTGCTCAAAGGCATGACAGAAGAAGGCGTCAAAGCGCCACAACTCGCCCTCGAAGGGCGCACCATATCCTCGGTTGGATCACCTGACATCTCAATATCCACCGTCATCACCACGCTCGCCAAGATCAAAGACGACAAACAACGCCGTGCGCGCGAAGCCGATGAAGAAACCCCCGTGCCATTCCCAGAGAAACCCTGGGCCGAAACCGCACCAGCAGAAGACGCAGAAGAACAGCCACCGCCAGAGACCCCCGAGCCTCCACCCCCAGCGCCCCGCACCTTCTCCCTGCTCCTCAAAATCGCAGACCTGACGCAGCACTACCTCCCCTCGCACTCGCCCTCGCTGCGCACATCCCTGCTCGCCCTCCTGCGCACCGCCATCCCCGCGCTCGCGCGCCACGAGAACAGTTTTCTGCCGCTCGTCAACACGCTGTGGCCCGTGCTGCTGCCGCGGCTGCAGGACAGGGAGGCGTATGTCGTCGCGAGCACGCTCGAGGTTATCGGCGTCATGTGCGAGCACGCGGGCGGGTTCATGCGGAGCCGCATCGAGGCCGCGTTCCCTGTCCTGCGAGCGGTGCACAAGCGAACGCAGGAGCGCGCGTCGAAGGGTCAGGACCGGAAACCGCAGAGCACCGGCGGCGGATCGCACGCCGGCGCCATCGAGACGCATTTCCAATCCCTTAGCATCTCCGCCCACCACCCGACCAATCTCGACTCGAGTCTGGACACACACGCGCTGTACTCTTCCACGCCGACCCGCATGATCTGGGACGCTTTGGTCAGCTGTCTGTGCGCCATCGCCGCACACGTCGGTATCAGAGACGAGCATTTCGAGCTCGTGCTGGACATGCTTGACCCCGTCCTCGCGCGGCCGGATGTCAGACAAGCGCTCGACAAGGCGAATGCAGATGCGCTGTGGTTGCGGATGTACAGGCGCCGTGCTGGAGGGGGGATGAATATGCCGGTGTTGAATGCGAGGTTGGGGGCGAGGTTTGTGCTGGTGTCTTGCTAGTAGGGGGGGGGGGGGGGGGGGGGGGGGGGGGGGGGGGGGGGTACGGTGAATGAGTGAGCGTGCGAGGGACAGCGAGAAGAGAAGCGATGAAGAGAAAAACAGAAGAGAAGAGTGGGATACCAACTCCGAGAGCAACGATACATATACATACACCTACAACAAATCACACACAAACACGACACCCCTACTACACGCAAATTGAACGCCTCCAATACTCCCAACATCGCCCGCTACTGACACCCCACATCCCCCGCAGATTCATCCTCTCCATAACCCCTTACCCAGTTCTAGCCCCTGGTCAAGGCGAGGCGAAGGAAGTATGTCTTGGCACCATCACCCTTGCACGTACGCCAGTCAACGACGCAGACCCAGGCGCCACCCACGTCGTGCTCTTTCACTCCTCCCCCACCCCGCCGAAGAACTTCCCAGCATCGAACGCCTCGGACGCGGTTGGTGCAGGCGTAGCCTTACATGGTACAGGCGGACTCAGCACCCACAACATCCCTTCACTAATGCGCGCCTGCACGCCGTGCTTCAGACACGTCACATCGCCCTCGCTTGCTGCGGTCCGCGTCGCCGCTGCGGCTGAGAGCCATGTACAGTCGTTGCTGCTGGAGCACGGCACCGGCTCGCCCTCGCGCTGGATTATGCGGGGGTAGCCTGAGATTATGCGGGCGAGCCAGCCGTGGGAGTGGATGGTTGTGCATACCAGTGCGCCGTCGGTGCAGAGCGGGGTGGCGGTACTGCTTGGTGGTGGTGCTGGGGGCGGTGTGATGGGTGCGTGAGGTGGGAAGGTTGGTCTGGGAGGGGAGAAAAGGGCGGTAGGTGGTGGAGAGGGGGTTGTCGAGGGCGGCGCGGCGGGTGTGGATGCTGGATACGAGGGTGGCACCGGGGTAGTCAGTGTCAAGAGTGTCGTTGGGAAGAGCGTCTTGAGCGAGGAAGATGTCAAGGTGGTTAAAGGAAGAGGAAGAGAAACTGACGACGCTACTGTGAGTGCTGACGCTGGTGCATTCGATGCATTCAATGCATTCGATGCATGCGTCGTAGGCACAGCGACTGCTGGCTTGTCAAAAGCACACGATGGCGTTGGCTTACCAGTGTACATCTGTCCATTCAAGATGACGGCCTCATATGTCACACCCGCGGAGGTCGCGCAGGTAGGGCCATTCGACTGGATTGCTGTCGTCGTCGGGCCAGTTGAGGTTGTCGAAGGCGCCCATAAATCGAATGACGATATCTGCGCTGTCGAGTTGGGAGCGGCCGTGGGATCAGCAATCATAGTAAACGGCGAGCCTGTGAATTGCGGCGGAGGCGTGCATGTTGATAGATCAGCAGCATACGTGATGACTGGCATGAAAACACCATCGCCGAGGGGGTCCATCATGACGATACACGCCGTGATCTTGTCGCTGCCATCGGTAGGGTTGTGAGGCAAAGTCGCGTCTGAGGTGGGCATTGCAGATACGTAGTTGGTAGCAGTCAGAAACACAGGGAGCTTCTTTGCGTCACTGACTGTTGCGAGCGATGTTGGGTGCACTGTCGTCGTGCGTGTCTCGGTGGTGTGGACCGTGAGAGCCAACGAAGCTGGGCTGAAGGTAGGAATTGCCAGCAAGCTTGTTCGAGCTGGAGTGCCAGATGCCGGCGCCAAAACCGAACTGTGCGCTGTTAAGATAGTCGTCGGCTCCGACTGACTCAGAAACGTATTTGAAGCGCCAGGGAAGTTGCTAGTGACAGGAAGAATCACGTCGCTTCTGCCACCGCAGCTCAAATCCCTGATGCGTGGCTGATAGGTCTTCGTATCCAAGAGCCCCCAGTCCGGCTGGTCAGGCACAGAGTCTTGCAGTAGCTCAAACCAGAACGTATTGTACTTTCCAAACACCTGGCAGCCTACCTCATTCCAGAACCGCTGGTAGTTGTCTGCGCTGGCGACAGCGTCTTTGATCTTGGTGCCATTGATGGGCCAGCCCGCTTCGGAGATCCAGACGGACGTATTTCCTGCTCGTCGCTGCGTATCTTTCAGGATCGACATGAACGTAGCGTTTGCATTGTCGATGGACTGACCCTCCCAGTACGGGTAGGCCGTCATACCTACGAAGTCGCTGCCAGGTATGGCGGCGTACATTGCAGTGTCGGTGTGTCCGATGGGCTTACCTTCCATATACTTGCCCCACGGAGATGCTTTGATTGTTGTCTTGACGCGGTTTATACTTGTGAACATATCGTCGGGGCCAACGCCTGCTTGTTGGCTGTTAAAGCGGTAGATATCCTCGTTGCCAATAGACAGACCGATGACGAGGTCTGCAAGCTTCTGGCCGTGCTGCTCAAAGCCCTTACCCAGCGCAGCAAGCTCGTTGTCTACTAGAGCGTCATTCGGCTGGCCTGTTGCGCCGGGAGACACCCACATGCCGAGTAGCAGGTTGGTGCCGGTGTCGATGGCGGCTTGGAATGCTTCTGTGGGGTCATTCTGGGTACCTGCCGTGATGCATGTGTACAGGCGTGCGGTGTCAAAGGGGACTGGTGTGTCAGTGAGGTTCTTTGCAAGCTCAAAGCCATGGTGGAAGTCGGCGTAGCGCTTGACGTTGCTCTGCCCGCTCCAAAAGGGACCGTAGTTGAAGCCGGCGTAGACCCTGGCTGCGACGGGCGTGGCGATGACGGTGAGGTGGAGGAACGGAATGGACTTCATGATGGCTGTGGAGGAAGGAGCAGGTTGCGAAGCAGGGGGCTTGTATCATTATGGGGCCCTGCTTGTTCATTGAAGCAGCCATCAGGGATCACATCCGGGGCGTGAAGGTGTGCATGTGACATGACGAGCACGATGCAGCTTGCAGTGACTGGAGCTTATCAGCGTGAAGGTGTGGACGTGACGTGACGAGCACGATGCTGTGAGCACTGCACGTGACACAGTGAACAAGCATTGACAGGCTTTCGTGAAGAGCGCCGGAGCTGACGATGGCGGCTGCGGTGATTGGCTCGCACCTGCCCTAGGCTCAATGCAACGGAGATACGCACAAGTCCCCGACGGAGCGATGGCCGGAGTGTCCCAGCGTCATGTCCGAATAATAAAAAGTGCCAGCGAGCGTCGACGCTGCACCACGCCCGCCACAAATGTCTCTCGCCCGCCTAGGAGGCGCCCTCTCGCGCGCAAAGAGCTCGCCGCGCCCGCAATGGCCGGCTGCGCATGTCAATGGCTGTGGCCGCGCCCTCTCAACGTCTCCCCTCCGCGGCGCCCGGGCCGACAATGAGCTCAACTCGGTGTCCAAGCACATCACGCAGCCCAAGTCGCAGGGCGCATCACAGGCGATGCTGTATGCGACGGGCATGAGCGAGGCGGACATGGACAAGGCGCAGGTCGGCATCAGCTCGGTCTGGTACAGCGGCAACCCGTGCAACATGCACCTGATGGACCTCAACCACAAGGTCCGCGAGGGCGTCGAGCGCGCGGGCCTGCTGGGCATGCAGTTCAACACCATTGGCGTCAGTGACGGCATCTCCATGGGCACCAAGGGCATGCGCTACTCGCTGCAGTCGCGCGAGATCATCGCCGACTCGATTGAGACGGTCATGGGCGGCCAGTGGTACGACGCCAACATCTCCATCCCCGGCTGCGACAAGAACATGCCTGGCGTCATCATGGCCATGGGCCGCGTCAACCGGCCCTCGCTGATGGTCTACGGCGGCACCATCCAGCCCGGCTGCGCCAAGTCGCTCGGCGACGAGAGCATCGACATCGTCTCTGCCTTCCAGGCCTATGGCCAGTTCATCACCGGCGAGATCACCGAGGACCAGCGCTTCGACATCATCCGCCACGCCTGCAACGGCCAGGGAGCCTGCGGCGGCATGTACACGGCCAACACCATGGCCACCGCCATCGAGACCATGGGCATGTCGCTGCCCGGCTCGTCGTCGAACCCGGCCAACTCCAAGGCGAAGATGCTCGAGTGTTTGGCTGCCGGCGGCGCCATCAAGAACCTGCTCAAGGAGGACATCCGCCCCTCGGACATCCTGACCCGCCAGGCTTTTGAGAACGCCATGGTCGTCATCTCCATCACCGGCGGCTCCACCAACGCCGTCTTGCACCTGATCGCCATCGCCGACAGCGTGGGCATCAAACTGACCATCGACGACTTCCAGAGCGTCTCCGACCGCATCCCGCTGCTCGCCGACATGAAGCCCTCGGGCAAGTACGTCATGGCCGACATCCACGACATCGGCGGCACGCCCTCGCTGCTCAAGTTCCTGCTCAAGGAGGGCCTGCTCGACGGCAGCCAGATGACCGTCACCGGCCAGACGCTGAAGCAGAACCTCGACAAGGTCAACGACTTCCCCGCCGACCAGAAGATCATCCGCCCGCTCTCCGCCCCGCTCAAGTCAACCGGCCATCTGCAGATCCTGCGTGGCTCGCTCGCACCTGGCGGCTGCGTGGGCAAGATTACCGGCAAGGAAGGCACAGTCTTCACCGGCAAGGCCAAGTGCTACGAGGCCGAGGACGACTTCATCAGCGCCCTTGAGCGCGGCGAGATCAAAAAGGGCGAGAAGACGGTCGTCGTCATCCGCTACGAGGGCCCCAAGGGCGGTCCAGGCATGCCTGAGATGCTGAAGCCCTCGTCTGCCATCATGGGCGCGGGACTCGGCAAGGACGTCGCCCTCATCACCGACGGCCGCTTCTCCGGCGGCTCGCACGGCTTCCTCATTGGCCACATCGTGCCAGAGGCCCAGGAGGGCGGGCCGATCGGCCTTGTTCGCGACGGCGACGAAATCACCATCGACTCAGAGAAGAACGAGCTCAACGTGCACGTCAGCGAGGCCGAGCTGGCCGAGCGCCGGAAGAGCTGGAAGGCGCCTGCGCTCAAGTACAGCAGGGGCACGCTCTTCAAGTACGCGCGCTTCGTCAAGGACGCGTCGCAGGGCTGCGTCACCGACTCGGCGTAGGTATTCTGTCGCCCTTGTTTTTGTTAGTCTTGTAGCATACTGTCTCACCTATGGAAAAGTCGCTTCTGGATCGCGCTAGGTACTGTTCGTCCGCATTGCAATATCAAAACAATTCAAAAATACTCCACCCGTTGCGGTTCCATGTTGTGCTATGAATGAAGATCCTTGGGTCTAAAACAGCTACGAGCACGCAACGCATCCACGCACCAGCCTTGTTGATTCTACGTCCTTGCTCTCCCAGCCAGAACTGCTGAGAATACTGCTTCTCGAAACACTCTCACCGTGGAAAAGAGTGGAGACAGTTATCAACCAGGGCATTATGCAGCAAAGTCGGTAAGTGATTATCGTTGCTAGGTACTGGAACAGTGATGCCAAGTAAGTAACAAACCAAAGAGCCAATTTCTCAATCTCGTCCTCGTCCAAAACACCACGCTTCCTCCCGTGCCCAAAGCTGCACTCCTGTTGAGGTCCAGCATGTCTCAGATAGCAGCGCAATTGAAGCTCTTCGCGCGGTCATTCCAGCCAACCTGAGCCAAGTCAAAGTAACCAGGATAGTACACCTGCAGCTCGGGTCCAGTGCAACCCTCGTTCCTGCGACTCGTCAGCCCACAGATCTTGAACAAATACCTTGTTCCCAACATACTCGTATAAAGTGCACCAATTCCCTGGATCAGGGCCTGCAGACGACACGCCGCGGTCACCGCCGGGGAAGATATCGGTCGTGGTAGCTAGTGTGGTCAGTATAGAGCGCGGCACGGGGAAATCTGGAGGATTCGACGTACTACACTGGCCCCAGGGGCTGCTGTACTTCTTGCAGAAGTTGGGCCGGTCGTTGAAGTGCGTGTTCTGGCACAGGAACAGTCCGGGTCCTGAGGCTGCTGCCGCTTCGACGGGGGCCGCAAAAGCGGGAGCCATCGAGGCCAAGAAAATCAGAATGGAAGCCTTAAACTGCATGTTGAAACTTGGTAGCTGGAGGTCAGAGTGCGATGTGTTGAAAATGCTACAGCTGTTGTGATGGGTTTGAATCTATGGATGGACCTCATGCTTTATACATGCTCGTCGCCCAGAGCTTACGAGGATGGTCTTTTTGGTGTAGATTGAGTCGGTGAGCTCTTGATGTTCTGTGACATTTGTGGTTGTGTGTGCTCAGTGGAACAACCCAGAAATGCTGACTGAGGTTGCACATGCTGACTTTCAGCTTGCAACTGAGCGCGCTAGCTTCCTGACGACCATGTTTTGACTACATTGTGATCACGATCGGACCACGTTGGAATGCATCGCAGTAAGGATAGAAGAATATATCGTCCAGCCGTGCGACATCGCAGCTACGAAGGTTCGCCAGGATTCCATTCTTTACGAAGTCACTCTCCTCATGGGACCACCCGTCGCCGGGCTTCTTCGTCCACTACAGATACCTTCTTTTGGCAGTTGTACAGCATCAAGATAAGAGCCCAGATTGGCTTCGTGGTCAAAAGGTGCTTGTCATCACCGCCCAAACTCTGATCATTACATTCTTCTAGCAGTCTCGCGAGCATGCCCATCTCATTACAACCTCGAAACATGACTGGCGGGGAACAACGCTGCTGTCCCACAATAAACGCCCCAGTACCATTCGCCGTTTACGTCCGCGGCCTCTCTAATCTCTGCGATCTTGGGGAAGGCCAGCTCGTCTCTGACCCCCTCCTCAGGCCAGTACCCCCATCGTGCCTGCAGTCTGAGCCCCGTGCCGCCATCAGGCGGTAATCTTCGCGGCGCTCTCGAAGTCGGTGAGCGTGCTTCGTCGTCTTCCTTGAACGCCCAGCCTCCGACGAGATCCTTGACAACGATGCGCAACTGCCCGCCGTCGCGGTCTTGGAAACCGACGACGACCATGCGGTGCCCGCGAATACATCTCCGCCAGCCGTTAACGCCGTTCTCTTTGCTGATGCGGTTCGATACGACGAGTTTGTGGTAGCAGGCCATGCAGACGTCGTAATCGCCGGCGTTGCATTTGAGGCAGTGGTAGCGAGTGTTCGAAGGTGGGATGGGGTATCTGCACACGTTGCATAAAGTCGTAAAAGTAAGTGGACGGAAAGTAAGGTTCGCTATCGTGAAGAGGATGGGACCTCGCATCAAGGATGCAGTCTTCGGCGTTAGAGGAGGGGTAGTGGCTTCGTAATCGTGATCAGGCGGCGCAAGGGTGTCGCCGGTCTGGTGGGGTGTTGAAGGTGCTGACACCTCCGGGCTGTCTGTGTCGTCTGTCTCAGACTTGTGCGCGACAGGAAGGAGTGGATGCGTGCAGTGGCGACCTTGATTGACGCAGTCATTGCAATAGCCCCATTCCCCCTCATTGCAATAGTCGCACTTCCAGTAGCAAGCGTTTGCGAAAGCCTTACAGATGTCGCAGAAGACACCGACTTCTTTCCGGTGATCAGGATTATGCTCGCTCATGAGGACATGCGGAGGCGCTGATGACTCAACGAGCTGAGCGAGTGGCCTTCGATATCGGTGCCCTTTCAGGACGTGAGGGTGTTCGCTGCCTGGCGGATGGCCACCATGGGGAGCTTGTCGTTCATATCGTAGCCATGAAGCCCAGCCGAATCCGAACCAATGCCTGCATCCTTTGCCGAAGCGAAAGCAGCGCAGGCACAAGTTGTAGCCGCCGCCATCGCACCGTTGACAGTTGTAGTGCAATTCATACTCTATGTGATCTTTGCCACACGAGTTGCAAGACACATGCGGCTCAGCGTAGAGAATGGGTGCTGAAGATGCCGAACCAGATGCTTGCCGCGAACGAGCTTCGTTTGCGCTTGGATCGGTGGTCGAGCGCAGGAACGAAGGCGGTATCACCAGTGGCGGAGTGTTTGAGAGACGTGGAGGTCTGGCTGGGTCAGTTATTCGGCGAAGCGACGGGGCTCGTAAGGGCGGCTCAGCGGGGGTTGAGGAAGGCGAGGGGTGCAGCGGTGATGTGAACGTTGCCAACGTGCTGGTGGGACTGTCACTGGTCGGCACATTAAAGCCGGATGCCAGCGGCGAGACGGGACTGCCGGCAGCCATACTTTCGTAAATACTGCGGCGAAACTGCTGTCGTGCATCGATCGTGCTGGTTTGTTGAACGTCAGATTGCCTTCGTCTCGCTGCTGGCGCGTGATCCGAAGTGGAGGGTCTCTCCTGCCCACTACTGCTCTGTCTAGCAGATGATTCGGCCAGTGGCGGTGGCCGATCCGCTCGTCTTGCCGACCTAGAGCTGCCCTGGCTCGAGGAGCGTCTGTGATGTCGGCCTCCATCGTTCGCTGCATCGATGAGAGCAGGTCGTGAGATTGGTGGTCCGTGCCTCGTGCCATTCTGTGGGGTTGAAGTTCTGCTCTCAGAGCGCCCATGACCACGCCGCCGTGAAGAGTCATCTTGCAGAGGGGTACTGCGCAGTGGCTGGGGCAAAGATGTCTGAGATGAACTTATTAGGCCTTCCCTTGCCAACCTTTCTCGTCGGTCTCGCCTTTCTCGCTGCCGCTCTGACTGCCGCTCAGCTTGTCGTCTGCGCACAGCCTCGGCAATCCTCTCAGTGATCTCCTCCTCTTGCGTGGTGCCAATGTCATTGAGATCGACGCCTTCGGCCAGCAGCTCCTCCAGCACGTGACGCACAAGGTCTTCGTCAACTTCATCCGCGCCCAAGTCTGATGCGCTCAGCAGCGACCGTAAGCTCGCCTGATGTTCGATGGTCCTGGCTGGTGTGGCCACCCTCGCAGGCGAAGTGTGTCGGCTTGTCTCGGAACGTCTGTCTTCTCGACTCCTTCGCGACTCTCTGCTGCCCTCACGGCTTCGCCCATGCCTTCTCCTGTCGCTCGGTGGCTCTAGATTGTTGCTGCTGCCGCTGGGTATGCCTGCCTCCCTCAAGCTAAGCTGTTGTACTTCTTCGAGCATCCTGCGGTCGCCCTCATCTTCTGGACCTCCTCGTCGCCGCAGCTTCGGCAGCACGTTGTCGCCAGGCTTGTATTTCTCTTTGTCTGCCTTCTTCTCTTCGTCGTTCTTGCCTCTTCCTGGGTTTGCCTTCAGGAATATGTCAAGTAGTGTAGTGACGGTTGCATTGGGCTGGGTGGAGCGCACCGAGGCGCGACATGACGGACATGTGTACGGGTGAATCGAAGTCGCTGCAGATGCTTGGAAGGCAAACCATTCCTTCAAACAAGCACCACAGAAGGTATGGAGGCAGTCGAGGAGCGTGAGCGGCTGGTAGAGGAGATCGGTACAGATCTGAGGACTATTAGCAGGCGCATCCCGGCTGTTAACACCAAAAGCACCGCGGAAGAAGCGACATGAGGCTGAAAGTTCCGCTCATTTCTTTACGCAGTCTATCGTCTCTTCCGTCTCGCTGTTTGGCTGTGCCTTCCCTTCGCACCTTCCCCGCCTCTCCCGCAACACAACCTCGAGAACGAATATCGACTCACCGAACACGTCAATTCCCTCTCCAAATCACCTTGCACACCACTACTTCGCTCGCCTGCTGCCATTGCGATGCGACGCTCGCAGCAGCCTGGTCAAGGGCGCTGTATGCCAGTTCTCTTGTTGGCGGTGACGAGCTAGCTGCTCGGATGTAGTCAGCGACTCAAGCACTTGGCGGCTTCAGCTGGGGCGGCGTCATGAGTTGCCAGCTCATCACCAGCATGCATCCGGACTTCCTCGCATCGCTCGCCAGGATTCGGTGAGACGGCGCAAGTGAGGTTCGCAGCGTGCAGCCTGTCGACGTGTGCTGCACGGTTACGTGAGGGGCACGCACAGGCGGTCAGGCACGTCACGCGATCTAGGGCGTACCTATGCAGGGAGCCGATCTCGTCCTCACCTCCCTTCACAGCAACATCAACAGCAAGCTGACGCTCACGTGCCGTCAATCGCGCAGTGGTCTTGTCGCATACAATTCGCCGTTCGAAAAATGTGGCGAACGAGATGACTGCATATTTTGGCATACCAATTCGCTCGCGAGAACGTATGTAGTGGCCGAGTTTCCTGCCATGAACTTCACTAGACCAATTACTACACCCACAGTGTACGGATGGTTTGAGCATTTGAGGAAGCTTTTGCGGAATAAATGACCAGGGGTATCATTCGGTCTCTCACCCTCTCGTGCGTAGACCTTGATCCCTTGCACGGTCTCTCACCGTGTCGACGGCTTGCAGCTGTTCCAACAATCATCACATATGGTCTTCCACAGCGGTACCATTCCCATCGATCCTTGCTCAATCACGATAGAAACGCTACGGCTTGGGATGGCGGCGTGACCCATCCTTCACCCTGTAAGTAGCTCGCTGCTCAAATTCCTAAGCTTCGATCCACGATTTAGGTGTGTATGACAAGCGCTGCTGGGAGACAGCAGTCATGTCGCCATCACCCCATCGGTCGGACCATGTCAAGGTGTGCCCCAGGTTCTCGAGCAAGTACTCGAAACTGCTTTTATCAAAGACACCTGAGGCTATTTATTCCCATTGGAACTGTCATTTTCCCCTCTCACATAGACTTTGGACGGCCGACGTACACCCACTCGCTCACCATTTGCCTCGGTGACCTTCACGTCGCCAACGCTTACTTTCTCTTTGCCTATAAAATGACATACCACTCGCCCGAACAACCTCCTTTGATACACTTGGTCGATCGCTCAAAGGAGAAGGAGAAGGAGAAGGTGACAGTCTACATCGGTCCCAGCAAAGGAAAAAAAGCTGTGGCAAGGATCAAGGCGACGCTCGGCCTGACGACAGTACCACTCGAGGTGATAGGTTCGAACGAGTGTCGCTGGAGATAACGCGCCAGGAAACTCTGGACCGCTCCTTTCGGTCCTCCCACCTGGTTTAGCCTACCCGACAATACCTGTTGGATCTCGCAACATCTTCTCATTGATCCTGAGCCAGAGCCCACAGTTAATAAAGTCGCCTGAGTTGGAAGTGTCTAGATCTTCGACACCGAATGTGTTTGCCGCTACAATGATCTGTCCAAGATCTGCGATACAAATGTTTACCAACGGATGATAACTCTCCACATCTACGGTAAGTATATATGCCAGGTGTCGAATACCCCCGGACAGCGACGTCGGAAGGAAGCTCGCCTCAAGTGTATGTCGAAAAATGCGCATCTTGCCATCGAGGCGGCCGTGGACTTGATTGAACAGCTTACTGTAAATAACGACGATCTAGGCCACAATGAAAACCAGCGGCCTCGGGTAAGTATAGACATCACAAACTGACATGTAGCACACTTCAATTGCGCGAAACGCTCGCTCGATCATACCACAGAATCAGAACATTTTACAGGCTTTCATTCATTCGGTGCTATTTCGCTTAAGAGAACTTACATTCTATCAAGCGACACAGATGCAACATCGCCCGAGTCCTCAACTCTCGGACTCAGCTGCCAGCTCCGTCGTCTCCTTCAGCTTCTCATCAATCTTCTGTATCTGATTAGTCGACTTCTCCACCGTTTCACGCAACTCCTTGACATGACCCTCTGTCTCATCATTCTGGGCTTTGAAATCCCTAAAATCTGCGTTGTTCACACCGCGCGAACGCTCGATCGATTGCTCCACATCGCGGCCCTTGGAAACTTGAGTGTTCAGGGAACGCATTAGCGCCGAGGAGTTTGCGATATTGTGTGTCAGAATGTCTACCTGGCTACGCAATGCCTCCAGGGGCTTCTCCGAAACGGCTCGTGGAGGATGAGCCGCTGGTTGGAAGGATGTCTGCGCTTTCGTTGCGTGCTGGGATAATTGCTCAAGAGGGTGTGTCAGAGCGCCTTTGGTCTGAAGCTGCGTTCCAGCGTTAGCGTTGGTGCCACCGATGGTCTCTATAGACTGAGCTGTATGCTTCGCTTTTTGCAAAGCTGTCCTTTTATCAAACCTCGTACGCTTTCAAGGCGCTGTGTCATCTTGCACTGCAGCGGAATACTCGTCCTCGCCATTCAGTACTGGGGAAGCCGCACGGGTGTCATCCCCGTTGGTCACTGCCTTTCGCTTGCGAGCTTCGGAGTTGTTGCCCTCTGCCGTCATATTCGGGGCCTCATCAGTCTCAGGCGATGACTGCTGCTCACCCACATCGAAAGTCGACTACACTATACTGAAAGATCGTGGACCTGACGTGAAAAGAAAGATCTGTACTGTGATTACTATGGGCGAAAACCCTAAATTAGGATATTCTACTGGTCCTTTGGTGGTAAAATTGGCCTAACATATGGAGCTCGTTTTATTTTGCCTTTTCCGCAATTTAAGAAGCTGCCCCAGTGGGATAACAGTCTGTTTTAATTTATTGACCATCGATGCGGGCCCGCCTCCCGGCTGCATGCCCGTGCCCTGACTGACCGTTCCCTCGCGTACAGCCTTCATAGGTCTACTCTGAATCCTTTGAGACACTGATAGTCGTATAGGGGCTAGAGCAAGATCTTCATCAGGAGTTTCCCAACTTTGGGTAGGTATATCCTAGAGCAGTTGACCTAATAAGCAGCCGATAATTACATTTTGGTGAGAATAACTTTGGAGGGCCCGTTGAAAAATGATCTAAGTGTTAGCAAGTCAAATACAACGTCCTTGAGACTACATTATCACTCTCCTTCCACCAACAAGAAAATAAACATGACACAGTCACAGTTTCTATACACCCAAGTGCCACCAGAATCATTCCAACGGATTTAAAGAAGTCAAATGGGTGACCGATTCGAAACACGGAGATCAGCTACAGCTCCGAGCGTGAAAATTAAGGTCACAGTGAAGTGCGCAGCGGTTCAGGCGAGCAATGCCTGTACAAGAAACGAGCATTGTAGCGCCTATAAATCCGTCATATCAGGCTAGAATAGATGAATTGTGCATCCTAGGATGTATAATATGCAGCTTGAGGAGGGATGTAAGGTGTGGAAATACTAGCCGGAGGCATGATTTACGATGGCGAAGCGATGGTCCACGGAGATTGGCGAGAGTTAGATATATCCAGCGACTGAAATGTCAATATGTAGGGATTTAGTCATACTCTCGTATGATTTGGCGCAAAAGCTTCCTTGATACCCTCCGCATGTGTTCGTCCTAAGCGCTGGGGTACCTGTAGGTTATCGTTGACATGGAATTATCGCATGCAGATTAATCCATAGCCATGACCGGAAGCGCAGCCTGATAGCTACCCTATTGAACCTGTGGTCGAAAAATCGTCAACCATGCCGACTTATGACGCTGCAGAATTTTACAATGGAAGCAGACAGGGCCTTCACAATCCGTGCTTCAAATCCTTGCATGATATTGCTGTGGATACAAGCACAAGTAGTCTACGTCGGTCACAAGTGCCGTCACTCGATTGCCTGCGCGATACTTTCACCGCTACCCAGCTTCTAGACCCGTTTTCATATTAAAACTGCCTCTGCGCAGTCCCCAATCACTACCATAAACACAGCATCAAGTAAAGCGATCAACAATCCTACAACAAAATAGCACTTAAAAAACTCACAACACCAGCAACTAACAATCAATCCCAAACCCAATACATCATCATGTGCGAATACAAGTACCGCCGCTGGAAATGCGGCTGCCTCCCTAGGGAGAAAAAGTACATCTCTGAATGCGTAGACGGCAAGAAGGGCACTTGTAAGAAGGAAGTGCATCGCAAGGAGTACGACGACGTGCAAAACAAGTGCACGATATGCCACGTCTGGAGCGGCGGGTACAAGACCTAGCTTTGGTACAAAATGTAAGTTATAGCTGCCACAAGGATTTCTCTGGGTGAGGATTGCTCGGTGGGAGATATTGACAGGCGCAGTCTGATGCGTGATGTATCTAGGCATCCCTAAGAAGCAAACAAAAACTTCACTTTCTCATATTCTGCCGTCTTGGTTGTATTTTGTTTCCAAGTTCTCCCTCGGTGACATTGTGACCCTATAAAAATGAATGTTCGAACGAGACACGCTCTGTGGTGCTCTTCGATTCACGAACCTACGCAAAACTCACAAGATGAACTGTGGTATAGTCTTGAAACGCCTGGGTTTATACACTGACGCGCATATCGTCGTTCACGTGGAGAACGTGTCAACATCGTCATCAACATTGCTCTCCATAGCCACGCACCGGCAGTCACATCTCGACATCTCGTCACACATGCTGTTCACTAACACCAGCTCCCGCAGCCCTTCTCCTAAAACACATCGCGCCACAATCCACGCGTATCCAAGTCCACTCGTCCATCCGTATAACCTTACCAGCCTGGTAGAGCCTACCCCCTCAACACATTAACAACAGCCCATAATCTAAAAATCACAGCTCTAACATCCACACCATCATCCGCCAGATCAACAACGAAAATGTGCACATAAATCCGACGCATCTACGCCTGCGGCTGCATGGCCACCGGTTGCACGTACCGGATAGTCTGCTCCGAAACCAAGTACGGCGTCTCGGGATCTTGCAAGGGGGGCGAGCACGGCAAGAGCAGGGAGTGCGATTACAAGTGCAGGAAGTGCGCGGACCATGATCAGAATTGTGAGGCGTGCAATAAACCCCGCAAGAGGAAGGGGAAGGGGAGGGCTTGATGACGAGGCGATGCTAAGGAAGCCTGTGCACGGAGTGAAGCAGGTTGGAGGCTGTTGATGTGGGCTTTGCGGTAATCTACTCAGTGACTTCGTCGAAATTCACTTCGGACCATGCCTCACACATATTACTGTGCTCTGTATTGCCACGACGGGCCTCCCATATCTCACTTGCACTCCATACATAGTAGCGCATACCAAGCAGTACTCCACCGTTCTCCGTGCAAGGCAGCTTTCAGCTCCTCTCTGCTTTCAGCAGTCGAATCTAGCAGTTGGTCGATGCGTAAGAGACGCTGAACCGCACTCCGTATTGCCAGCTGTACGGTAGGGAGATTTTGAGCGAGGATGTGCGGTGCTCCAGCGTTGGACCTATTGTTCACTGTTTGCACTGGAGACTGGGTGATGGGCTACGGCTCACACGATTTAGCTACGGCACAGATTTATACAGAGCTGTGGAATATGTTCGACCTGGGCAGACCCCGATAAATACAAATCGCAAGCGAGTATGTGTCTTGAATATATCGGAGTAGGATTACTGGCAGCTTCTGCACTCTGTCTGGTATCTGTTTTGTGAAGGTGGATGCTGGGCGCAGCGCTACAATTTATCCAAAGCTTGTTATAAGAAACTCTCCCAGGATCATAGTTCATTTACCAGACAGAAAAAATGGCTTGAGGCTTGACAACTATACATATGAGCTCTCGCTACCCTTGCTCTGAGGTGTGAGCTCTGCGCCAGGAGCTGAGACGTGACGTCACACCCCGCAACCCGCCTCCACACTCCACTCTCCATCCTCACACCACCTCACCGACCAAGTAGCTTTCTCCACAACCCCGAATATCCCCATTCAAGACCGCCGTCTCACTCACGCAACCGAAGCATTGTGGTGACAAACATCATGCTACTCTGTCCTTTTAATCTAGCTGCGCCGCACATCCCTGCGGGTAATATGGGACGCGGGACAGGGACGCGGAGCGTGACTTGGCCCGCCGAATGCGTGGGAAGAGGACAACATGCCACATTCAATTCGACTGTATATATGAGCGCAAGAAATGCGCTCTCTAGTGATTTTCTTGCTGCACTAAAGTCCCATCCATCCGCAAGTGACCCGAGGCCCCTCCATATCGCCCATCTCCACCGCCAGCGTATTCCGCGTTCTATAGAGCAAGAGCAAGATGAAGATCACCGCCCTCCTCCCGTTCCTCGCTGCGACCGCACTCGCAACCGCAGACGCCAGCAGCAGCGCCGCAGCGGATCCCAATCCCGCCGAGGCCTCGGCGCCGCCAGCCTCAGACCCGACGCCCGCGGGCGCGCTGTGGACAGCGTCATGGACCGAGGCCTCCCTCTCCGCGTACGAGAAATCTTGCTCAGCGAAGAGCACGTACAAAGCCTCCATCTACACGCTCGCACAGCTCTACCCGGATCTCGAGACGTTCGCGCCGCAGCTCAAGGTCTTCTACAACAGGCAGCTATACCCGGGGTCGTGGGAGGGCGTGGACAAGCACGGCAACGACCGCGAGCTGATTAAGATGGATGTCGTCGAGCTGCCGTGGAAGGTGCGCGAGTGGATCAAGACGGAGAGCAAGCAGCGACACTACAGTGTGGATGGTGATGTGGTGTTTTTCGCGCCGGGCGCGATCTATCCCATTCTACCGTTGTGGGTCGAGGGTGGTGATGAGGTTGAGTGCAGTGGTAAGTGTGTCTCCTCTGGCGCTTTGAACGATGCTGATGAAAGTGCAGGCGTGTTCGATGGATTGGATGCGTATTCGAATGAGCCGGCGGACGGCAAGACAATTGGGAAGGTCAGCCACAAGCTGAGCGGCGAGGGCGAGGTTGAATTTACAGTTGAGGCGCTGCGGGTCAAGCTGGCAGCGGGTGGCGAGCGAAGCGAGCTATGAGATCGGGCGAGCCTGCGTACTGTTGCATTGCTGGCGTTACGGGAGTCGCGTCCTACTCGATGAAGAACTCAGTCAACACCCTGTTGCCGTCTTCGATGTCCTGCTCCAGATCTCCCGCGTAGTGCATGATGCCTTGAACATAGGCTTGGCCGACTAATCTGTGGAGCTCGGGGATGCAGCAGTCGAGGTGCTTGCGCCGCTTGCAGCCGCTCGTCCAACACATGAATGGATGCCCGAGCCCCAGAGGCCCGTCGTGAGTGGACTTGCGCAGTATGCAAGGGACGGCTGAGCCGAGTAAGATGCAAATCTGGTCGCCAGTTCTTGCTCGGGAGTGAGCTAGGCCAATGACATTTCCTTCAGTAACGAAGATTCGACGCAGATTGCTTGAGCAATGTATGGTCGACGTAAACTTCGCCCACACATCGCTGACCACGTGGTCCGGTTGTAACTTCCCTCGATGCTCTGTGAGCCACGTGCGTAGGAAGTTATTGTCCAGGCTGCCCCCAGCTGTGATGGTTGTCGCAAAGGCGCGAGCAGCGTCTTCTTGATCCAGAATCGTTGCCTGAAACGCGGTCCACCATTGCGTGATGACGCGATTTTGCTCTTTGGCGTCAGCAGTGATCCTGAAGACATCGTAGACGCGTGCGATAGTATCGGAGACGTAACCTTTGACGCCGATAACCTCGGGGTCTACCAATCGTGTTCTGCATCGGGCGTGTAGCCCACCAGAGGCAGCGTAGCGTTCACTGCCCGAATCGGTGCCCAGCCAGAGTGGCTGTCTGACGGTCTTCGCGTCCACTCTTTTGGGAAGGAAATTTGAGTTCCCGAATCCTGAGGCCAGCCAGGTCGGGCCCATTTCCTTGTAGCCGACGCGGTCTAGGGAGTCTACCATTGCGATTGCATTCAAGCTCTTGTATTGGTCAAGACAGTTCTTCGTGAAGTCGCCCCAGATGTCTGTCTCAGATGCGGCATAGTCCACTTTTACAGGCAACTGATGAGGCCCCTTGACGAGTCCCAGCAGTGCAAAGAGCCGGTCTCGAGGGTCAGTTGCCATGGAGTAGCGAAAGTCGTGAACAAAGCTCAGTAATCCGTATTCTGGATCTGTCGAGGAGCTGTCTCGAATCATTTGTACCCGTCGCATGAAGTCTCGGAGTCCTTCCGGAAGGCTACAAATCGCTGTACCACACATAACAAATTGATAGAGTACTTCCCAGTCGATTTTGCAGTCCCGACACTGTACAACAACGTTGCTGTTGGCAGCGATTTCTTGAATTATCCACATCCGCTCCCAATAGGACAGTCGGAACAATAGATTGAGTGTTTCGGTCGACGTGACGTCGCGGTCGGGCTCGGTGCCGGCCAGACATTGTCGAATATCGTTGAAAGCAATCTTCACCGATTCGAGTGCGGGCTTGGCCCATGAATCCACATCCAACCATACTATAACCCTTTGCGCATTCTGATACACCTTGAGCATCTGTCCCACCTGCGTGTTCTTCTCCTGCACGTTCTGCTGGTCAATACAAATAGCATCGATCCACACGGTACGAACGTCGACTTCATCGCGTAAAGCCCGTAAAGCCCGATTGAGAGTAGCTGTCAGTGGCAACATCTTATTGTTGACAAGGCATGGTGTTCCAAAGGCCAACTCGCAACCCCACGTGTAGCTCAGTGCTTCATATCTTGAGGTGTAACAATCTCCATCTTCCAGGTAGCACACAATCTGGTCTGACCACCTGCCGGGCTGTATCTTGAGCAGTCGGATGACATGCGGTCTGTCCGATAAAGGCGTATGCTCGAACGGTGGTGTGAACCTACCCATGCAGAATGCCAGGATATTGCAGACGAAGAGGAGTAGAGCCCACAAGAAACATATCGGGAATAGTGGAAGGATCACCAGTATACATAGAACGAGGAAGACGACCAGAATGGGAACGGCAATGGTGAGAACGAGACCGGTAACGAACCACCTGTACAGGAATTCAGAATGACGGCGAGTTGACCCGTTACACACAGATATGTTGTCCAAAGGCGCGACTCGATTCATCGTCGCGGGAGTGTCTCGACTTCTTCTTGGGGTGGAGCTGAGGTTGTAAGTTCAGTGAGAGCTGAAGTGGGGACGCTGACTAACATCGTGCCCAGCAACTTCCTCGCCCAACGCTTCGATGGCTCGCTCAAAGTCGCTCGAATCTACGTAGAGTCGGGTATGTGGAATACGAATGTAATGCAGCCATAATGGGGTTCCGGATGCGATGCAAAGCATTCTGTTCTCCTGTGGGGCCGCACAAAGAGATCGGGCGAGACTTCAAGATTCCGTGCAAACCATTATGTCGCTCAGATGTGATTTCTTCCCATACTGGTCAAACATCTTTTGAACTTCGCTCCTTCTCCTTCTTCGCCCTTCTGCGTTCCTTCCCTTTACTCGCTGCATGTCGAATCGCAGTCACCATGTTGAACATGAACACACCCACGAAGAATAACCCCACAACACCCAGCACAGCAGCCACGCTGACCATGCTAAGCACGACAACACCATAAGTCCCATTCATAAACGCTGTACTTCCGTTGAGCTCATCGAGCGCTGTGCCGACCTGCATGGCGCTCAGAACCAGACTCAGGAACACGAACAGGATCAGGATCCACGAGAAGTTGCGCTCGAAGAAGACGACGTAGCGGTTGTAGCCGTACAGGTAGCCGCGGACAAAGTGCGTGGCGAAGAACCGGGTGCGGTAGATTGTGTTGATGCGCGACAGGCGAAGGTCGCCGAAGTGGTAGCGCTTGTTGACTTGGTAGAGGGTGTTGATGTCGACCCTGTCAACGAAAGAAGTCACGAAAGCTCTCCACCATTGCCACGTGACGGCAGCGGGAATCAGCAAGTTGTCGTGCGCGAGCTTGAGGTCGAGAGGCGAGACGATGAGCCAGACGTAGCTGAGTAGCCAGCCTGTAGCGCTCTCGTGCAGCTCTTTGTCGACACAGAGGCGTTCTTTCCAGAACGATGCGTCGAGGAGGTACTCGGGCAGGGGCTTCACGAGGAGTTTGTTGGAGAAGCGCAGCAGGTGGAGGTCCATCTGCTGTGTTCCGAGCACCTCGTAGCCGTACATCTTGTACCGGTGCAGTGGGCGTGCGCGCATGGGTCGTCCAGCCATCCAGAGATGCGCGTGTATGTCGTTCAGCCGCTTGAGGTCGAGATCATCCTCCAGAAACGTCGCAATGTCCTTGTTGACGAGGAAGGTGTCGTTGCCGCGACCAGCGATGGTGGGCAGGGAGTCAAGCGCAGTGAGGGCTGTCGTATCGAGGACCACGTGCTGCGCACCATTGCTGGCCGCATGCTGTGACGAAGTCGGCGAGGGCGTGATTGAAGCAGTGTGAGAGTGCAGCAGAGACCGTGGGGCGAACGGGGGCTCAAGCTTTGGTGCCTGCTCTCCTGTCAGTCGAGGGCGGCACGGCGGGAGATATGCTGAGCGTACCGGCTGCTGCACAGTTTTGTCAGCCATACTGTCCTGATCGCTGAGTGACATGGGGTGTCATGGTGAAGAAGGCTGCAGCTACGCGTGTTGACATATTGCACCAGGCTACTTGCTGGGGCGGATGGCTGAGGCTGGTGCACCTGCGCGGTTCACATGCACCCCCATAAGCGGGCGCTAGCAGGTAGAGAGTGTGGGGGCGGGAGCTTGCTAAGAATAGATGCTCTAGCTCACAAACACATGTGACTGACGTTTTCACAACTGACAGTTCAGGACAGTCGTTTCACGACAGATAGTTCAGGATACACATTTTACGATAGACACTTCACGACCGACAGGTCTGTTACAACTCACATTTCATACCTCACATTTCACAATCACATTTCACAACATTTCACAATAACATTTTACAACATTTCACAATAACATTTTACAACATTTCACAACAACATTTCACAACACACTTCGACAGACACGTCACAACTGGCAAGACTCAAGTTTGTTCAATCGTAGATCAACCCCAAACACCTCTAATGCAGTTTTGGATATCATATAGCCGTGCTCCGCCCTACTTGCAGTAGTTGGCTGGGAAACTTCCTTTCTGGCCGTTGACCTCGCCCTCCCACCAGTCCTGCGAGCTGTCTGTCTTTTTGATCACGCGGATGCGGTCGCCCTCCCTGAAGGACAGGTCGCCTGCTGTGTGGCTGTCAAAGTCGTACATGGCTGTGACGTACTGTGCCTGGAACGAGGCAATCTTCTTCGGTGGCGGTGGCGGCGGTGGCTTCTTCTTGCCCGCTGCTGGGTTCGGCGACAGGCTACCGGGTGTGTATGCTGGGGTGGAGGCAGTCGAGCCACGTGATGGGATCTTGCCGAAGTAGTCGCGCCCGCCTGTGCCGTTCTCGGCGCCTGCAGTGGTGCCGTTGGAGTGCGTCGATAGGTGCGAACTTGACGAAACACGTCGCGCGTAGTGATCGCCGTTGGAGGGTGCGAGCATCGGCGAACTGCTGGAGATCTTGGGTTTCGAGGCATTGAGAGACTGGATCGAAGGCTTAGTCGCCAGGTTGTAGGACGGTGGAGGCGGCCCGTCTTCGTCCGGCGAGGTCAAGGTTGTCGAGGGTCTTGACGCCCGGCCGCCACCCGAGACAGTTGGCACGCTATCATTGCTGCTTGCTCGTCGTCCAGGCAGCACCTTGTTCCTGATGCCCAAGCCGGTCAGGGTGTCACCCTTGTCGGGCAGTCGCATGGGCTGGTGGACCGCTTTGCCCGTTCGGATGAGGGAGAAATCGGTCTCTAGCTCCTTGCGCAGGGGCGTAAAGGTACCCTCCCACTCCGGTATGACCTCCTCGGGCTCAGGCGGCGGGTCTGGGTAACCCTGCTCATGTGAGTACTGGTGAAGCACCGTGTACAGGTTGCCAATCAAGTTGTTCTGCAGCACAATCTGGTTCGCCAGAAGGTGGGGCAGGATGGAGAAGGTCGCTTCGTTGAGGCGCGGCAGCGAGTTGCGCAGGGACTCGTCGGCGCTCCAGTAGGCCTGCTGCGAGCGCTCGAGGTCGGCCTCGTGCTTGACCAGTGCAACGTTCTCGCGGTCGGAGCGAGTATTCTTCTTCTGCAGGGCGTCGCAGCGGCTCTTGTAGCGCTCGTAGTCGACCTGGCACGAGTCAGCAGCCGGTAGACGGAACCTTGAGACAATTGACGCACCTTTGCGTCCTCGCGCTTCTTCATCGTCTTGTGCATGGGCTTGAGGGCGTCCTTGGCCAGCTTGGCCGGAACGATGAGCTTCCTGTCAATGTCCTTGACTTCCTCCATCATGTCCGTCTTGAGCTCTGCGAAAGCCTCCTGCAGCGCGGCAACGCGCTCCAAGGTGGCCTGGGGGGTATCGACGGCGACATGGGTGCTCAGGCCGGCCTTCTCGGCGCCCAGGGGCTTGAAGATGGTGTAGAGGTGCTCGACGGTCGCCAGCTGGTGGTTGAGGATGTTGGTCCAGGCGTCGCGCCACTGCTTGAAAGACTCTTCGAGCTTTGTCAACATGACTTCGGCGTCGCTGAAGTCGCGCAGCATGGCCTCGATGTCAGCTTCATTGGGCGTCCGCGGCAGGAACCGCCCAGTGAGCCGTTGCATGCGCTGCATCGTGCCGGCGGACGATTTGCGAGCGATGCTAGCAGCGGGACCGAAGGGCTTCGTAAATAGAATGTGTACGGTTGCCAAGGGGCGGGGATGTTGACGACTGCGCCAGTGTGGCTGTGCCGGCTAGCGGATCGCGGCAGGGTGGGTGAATTGACGCGAGGCCGGGTTACAAGGCCGGGCTGCGAGCCTAACGGGAAGAGGAGCCATGGCCGGTGCGGACGATCGACAGCAGTCGCAGGCATTGTCAGAGCCCACCGGTGAACAATGGAATCGATGCCTGGAGTCTGGAGTCTGGCCCTAGCGGCGACAGACAGGTCACGAGGAACTGGACGCGGTCGCGCTTGCTCTGCCGCGTCTCGCCGGCCCTCGACGCGTCGCCGTCATACTTGGTGCATGCCGCCGCCCATGTCTCGCAGTCTTCCTCTCCCTCTGCAGCCATGACGGCGCCCCTCCGCAGCACGCCGCACTCGCAGCTGCCCGCCTCGCAGACGGCCCCCGTCGCCGAGTTCCGCTGCCTCTACACGCCCGACGTGCGCAAGAAGCAGAAGAAGTGGCAGGATGGCTTCCTCAAGTTCCACGCCTTCAATAGCCGCGTCATGGTCTACGACCACGCCCGCAACTTCCTTGGCGATACGTACTACAAGGACCGCGGCGAGCTGCACGAGGGCGACGAGCTGACCCTGGACAAGGGCGTCATGGTCGAGGTCGCCGATGCGATAGGCGTCACCCAGACCGACCTGGCGCCGCTGTTCGAGAAGAAGCCGAGGGAGGGCCTGCCGCCGCCGCCTGCACCCCCGCGACGCTTCCAGCCGCCCTCGCAAGTCGCTCGCCCGCAAGTCGCGCCTGCCTCCACCACTGCACGCGCCACCGCCAAGCAGCCGCGCCACAAGGCGCTGAACACGCTGCTGGGGACCCCCAAGGGGCCGATTGGGAGGTCTGTGCCCGTCAAGTCGCCATACGAGGTACGCCAAGAGAAGGAGCGGGAGAAGGAGGACGACTTTGCCGTGGACAGGGCGGCCAAGAGGCCGAAGACAGCCCATAGCTCTACTAGTTCCGCCAGTCTGCGACTGTCCAGTCCAGTGCAGGAGGACAGCCCTGCGCCAAAGAACAGCCTGCCACTATGGGCGAAGACGTCAAACGCAAGAACAGCTCGCAAGCCGGCGAGGCCAATCCCGCAGGGAGCGCCCGTCATTACCTTGGACGAACTCGATGCCATTGCCCACGTTTCCTCAGACGCCTCGCTGCCGAGCACGCCGCCGAGGGTGAATACCACGACAGCTAGACCACCCGTCACACCTGCACCAGCTGTCAGATCTGCAGCCGTCGAGAGACCTGTCCTACAAACACCAAGGATACCCCGTGGGAAGGTGCCTGTGACGAGCGTCAAGGCATCAGAAACACCTCAAGCTCCCGCACCCACCTCCCCACCAGTCAGCGCCTCGAACAGACTGACCAATGTCGACTTTGCTGTGCAGCCGACTCCAGTGAAGGAGCCTGTCAGAAGGCCGCCCGAGCAGCCCGAGCCTCCGCTGCCTGTCGAGCCTCCCCAATCGCCGCCTCTGATCCCCAAGGCCAAGTCTCTACGGCTGTCTAAGGGCATAAAGAGAGGTACACTCATGATCTGTCAGTCTGCACCACCGCCACGCTCAAGGGAAGTTAGTGAAGCGCGAGCGACGCCTGGCGAAGCAATTGCACTGAAATTGAAGCGCAAAGCAACCGTGGACGGCGAGAGAGCAGGGAAACTAGTCAAGACCAGGCAGACATCGCCTGAGGACGCCCTGGGCATCTTCAACGATGACCAGGAAGTGATGCACGGTCTGATGGACCAGGTGCTTGCGGTGTCTGGAACACCACCACCACCGCCTGACCAACCCATACTAGTGCCTGACAGTCCTGAGCTCGTGCCATTGGAACCTAGACAAGCCAAACCAGCATCACGCAACGCTCGGAAAGCAACACCACTAAAAGCAAACGAGGCAGCGCCTGCGAAAGCGGGGCCGCCTCCGCCTCGAGTACCTGCGATTGCAGAGCCGAGGAAACAGTCAGCCTCAAAGACGCAACAGGCTCGCAAGCACTCGCCACCGGCTGCATTGGTTGCTGAAGCCGTCCATGTCAAAAGCCGAGCAGGCTCACCAGCTCTGAGTGCTGTTTCCAACTCGCGATCACGCACCACTTCACTCTCCCCGCAGAAGTCTGTCGCTCTATCGACAGGCGGCTTTCAAAGGAAGGCCAAGCGCGAAACACTTCAAACAACCCCAGCGCCAGACACGCCTGCAGTCGTCTCTCGCAACGAGATCGTCGCCCTCCCGCCCCACCCGTTACGCGCCAACAAGAAGGGCCCTGTAATGACCACCACCGAGCTTGCGGCCATGCTGCAGAAGCCAAAGAAAAAGGCGAAGGTACCGTTCGATCCAATCGATGACGGAGCAGAAGTAGCAGGCATGTTGCCCAATCGCAAGTTCAGACGCGTACGCAGCGTAAATGACGCCCCGATCCCGAGCACAAGCGAGGCCTGGGAGAAACGGAATCTCCCAAAGGCTACAGCCACCTGCAGAGTCACAACGGCCGAGCTGGAGCCTCCCGCAGCCTCACCCCCACCCGTCGTCTTGCGCAAAGAATCCGGCCTCGCAGCGCTCATCCGCAAAACAGATCCGCGCACCAAGTTCGCACGCACCCAGAGCCTGACTGTCGAGACCACCATGCCACTGCCGCAGGAAACGGAGAGTCTGGTGGTAAGTCCGGTCGTAGATCGCGATGTGGGGCCGTGGAGTACGGATGCTTTTGATCTTTTCGACTGGCGGCCGCCGGGGAGGGGGGAGGTGCAGACAGGAACGTGACGGTGGGGAGGAGACGACATTGATTGTCATGAGATCACGACTTACGATATACCATTCGACGTCTTCGCAGATGTAGAAATGAACCATGTCCTCTCTTGCACTTCGCAGCTTCCACAACCAGTCAATGCGCATCTGTGTACCCGCCCGATACTCTCCTCACTCACTCCCCTCAACACGTTGTCCCAACACATAGTACCTCCTCCGCGGTCTCGCCACACGCTATCCGTCCACGCAGCAGCAGCGATCAACGGTCGGAAGGTAGTAGACGCAAGACCATTAAAACCAATCGTGCCGCCCAAGCGCGAGGAAAACACAACAACACACATGCAAGCCGACCAAGACGCGCTCACTCCAGAAAAAACTCCATCACCGGAAGCCGCCCACTCTCGATATCCTCCGACACATCGCCTTCATACCGCGTGGCCTCCTTCACATACACCTGGCCCACGAGCGCATATTGTTCAGAAATGCAACACCCCAGATGCGCACTCCGCTTACATCCTACTATCTAGCACCGAGCGGGATGTGCGACGCCGATGGAATCGTCTTTGATGCGTCGGAGCACGTACGGCACAGCGCAGCCGAGCGGTATGCAGATCAGATCACCAGGCTTGGACTGCGAATGTGCCAGTCCGACTGCGCCGTGGTGTTGAGTCGTGAGGAGGCGCCGTTGGCTGCACGTGGCGGTGATGGCAGATGTTCTTGCAGCCCACTGATCTCTGCCAGGAATGGTGTCGTCCGCGCTGCTCTGCAGGAGCTGGTCGATGTCTATGTTGGGTGGTGCCTTGCCTGCTGTGAAGAGATTGCAGAAGAGGGTGATGATCTCCTCGTCTGTGCTGGATTGTTTCTGCTCTTCGGTCATCGATCGCCACTGTCTCAGAAATTGTTATTGCTTGGGTACTGGTTCGGAAACGTCACTGACGCGAGCGGATGGTGTCGAAGACGAAGGCGTGGACGCCGATGATGTCGGGATCTGCGAGCCTCATCGCGCATCTGGTTCTGGGTGCGCCAGCAGCGGAATACAGTGTTTCTCCCTCCAAGGTCCCCACCCAGAACGGTTGTCGGACATCGTTCGCTTTGAGGCGCTTGTTTGAGAATCTAGAACCTCCAAATGTCTCTGGTACCCAGCATGGATTGACGGCGTCCCATCAGGTGTGGTCTCGTGTGTCGACCAGTGACAGAGCGTTCAAGGAGTCGTACTTGGCTAGGCACTGCTTGGTGAACTCAGTCCAGATGTTTTTCAGGGTCTGTGAATAATCTACTTTGACGCTCGGCGAGCTTTGCGGGTCTTTCACGAGACCACACAGTGCGTAGAGCCGGTCTTTTGATGCTGTGACCATCGAGTAGCGGAAGTCGTGGACGAAGTTAAGTAGCCCGAGGCGGGGATCACTGGAGTCGCCTGCCCGGATCATTTCCACTCGGCGAATAACTTTTGCAAACCATCAGGAAGGATGAAGAGTTTTGATGCGTTAGGTAGAGTGATGAGCCGACAGATCGAGCCCCAAGGTATGGTACGCGTGCGACATTACACAAGCACGTTGCGGTTTGAAGCTACTTCTTGAACGATCCACATCCGGTACCAATACGGCAGCTGGAAGATCGTGTCGAAGGTCTTGCACCAGTCGCCCTGAGAAACGCCGCCGGAGCTCTCGAACTCGAGCAGCCTCTCTGCGGCATCAAAACGAGGAGACCCAGGGCATGCGGAGCGGTCGTTGGGAGACGGTGCCAGGTCCATGGTGACATTTGTATGGCCGAATGACCAGTTGTGATTAGTGCTAAAACCATCAATGATGGAGACCAAAAACCAGTTCTTCAGGCAAAGAGCCGGATGCCCAGAGCTGAGCGTGGGCTGAGGGATTGCTGAGCAACATAGTTCACATGCACTCCCCGCTGTCGAAAGCTTTAGAAAACGCTACCGAGGGGCGTTGTGCATGCACGAAAGGCCATTGATTGTGACATGGTAGATTGACAGTGTGCTGGTGGTCGTGAAGGAGTTGCGGTCGATTGGTGTTGGCCGCCCCACCTGGCCGCCGTTCCTTCCTTCGCTGCGCGGTGACGCAACCGCGATCGGCAATCTTCACCCCTGGTTCAAGTACCTTTGATCCTCACAACCTGCCAACGGCTATCTTGGATCAAGTTTCGTTGCCGTCAACCGAGCCTGTAGCGGCCGTTGTTAGACATGTCCCACCGCCATGAAGGATGCAAAGACCCACCAGCAGGTTTTGTACCTGGCGACTTGCCTACCGCGCATGAGCATTGGCATCCAAGGAGGTAGAATGAAGTACAAGTTGCAGACATCGTGCAAGACGTCTCGAATTCCCCACCCCATTCCCAAAGTTTGTCCGAGATGCATCTACCCACGAGCCCCCACAAAGCGTCCAGCGAGGCGGAGCAAGCAACAGAATGCTCAACACCCAAACGGCACACATCGATTCGTACACCCAGTCCGTCTATCACAGAACGCGTCACAACTCCAGAAACTGCCCGCCCACGTAATGCACCCTCCAACGCACCTCCAAAACAGCGTCCCGGCCTCCAACGCCGCCGCACAACAGCCCGCACACGCTACATCGACATGCTGCTCGGCCTCGATGCCGTCTCACCGCTGCACAACATCCTCGCCTCCCTTTTCGTCTGGATTCTACTCGCCGGCTACGTTGTATTTCCCGCAACCTTCAACAGCCTCCAAAAAGCCTCTTACGACGACAAAGCAGATTCGGCGCTTAAAGCACATGCCCTAGCGACGGCGCGGAACCTGCCTTTGCTGTATGTTGCAGCGGTCGCTTGTGGGGTCGGTGTGCTGGGGTGTGTATGGTTGTGGTGGAAGCATCGCGGAAATTACGTGTGGGTTGTTAATCGGATCTTCTTGCCGAGTTTGCTGAATAGTGTTGCGGGGTTGGTGAGTACGCTGGTGAACGTGTACAGTGCTCAGGAAGGTGAGTTGCTTGTTTGCTCGCGTAGTTCGGGAATGTGCGCGCTGACGCAGGGCAGGGCAGTACTCAGTCACTGCGAAGGTGACGCTTGTTGTGACGGCAAGTTGCTCGGTCGTTGCTGCGGGGTTATTTCTGTTGTATAATACTGTGATGTTGAGGCTGGTGAAGAGTAGGCATAAGAAAGAGGTAAGAGCTGCGGGAAGAGATGGCGAAGGTGTCAATGCTTGATTATAAATTGTTTGTGAAATCCTCGAGGCGTCCAAGCGCGCTGTATGGTCTCTGCTAGATACTATGGCAACACAATATGACAATCAGCTTTTGTGTAGAGCGAAACAGGAAGACAAATGTATGCGGCAAATCCAGAGCGTGAGCTCACCAATGTACAGCGCCGAGTAATGCAAATGTCTATACAGCGGTGAAAGAGAGAGGACGACCGCGAGCTAATCATTCAACACGATTTACCGCGGCTTCGGGCTCCTTTTTGGTGTCGCCTATGGCATCCTTATTGATGTCATCTTTCTCAGTGTTGATCTCTATCGGCTGCTGTTACAAGCTGACCTGAGATGCAGATACGCTGATCGCACCTGGTACCTGGGCACCAGTCGCAGCGCTAGAACTCATCGGGGCGACCACGATCTCCAAATCCTTTGTGGCTGGTCTATCATAGTTTCTGAAGATAATGTAGAAGACGACCGTGGTAACTGCCATGGCGCCAGTCAGTCCGCCATAGAAACCGATCATCAATGGGTTGCGCGCAGCAGGGGTCAGAGCCATGGCAACAGCGGACCCAACACCAGCGATGAGTAGACTGACTGCCTGAACGATGGCCTTCATCCTCTGGGGCGAATTTTCGTACGCGTACTCCATTGCGGTGACCATGGCGAAGACCTCTCCGATCGCCATCAGAATGTAGAGTGGACCCTGGATCCACACATTGACTTTTGCGTTGGGAGAGGTGTAAATGAAGTGCTGGATGATTGTTGCGTAGAGCATGGAAGATGCTATGAAGCAGAAGCCAATGGTGATGCGTATGACTGGGCGAAGGTAGATGCGGCGTCGGTGGAGGAAGGGATAGAGGACCTCCTGAATAAGCGGTGCAAAGACAATGCAGCCAACTTGGTTCAAGGCCGGGACGAGATCATTGGGAGTGCCATTGGTCTCCATCTCAGCAGCCTGGGAGATCAAGTTGTTCTGCATCTGATCGAAGCAGAGGTAGAAAACGACGAAAGCGATGAGGACGCGACAAGCTTGCAAACCTCGCGTGACCTCGACCACAAGCTGATCGTTCCATGATACAGTTTGCTGGCGGTGTTTGAGCTGGTACTCGGGCTGAGCATGGGCCATCTTGAAGCCGTTGCGACAGGCGCAGATGATGATCTTGGTAGCTGCAGGAAGAACGTTGCCCTCATGTGGCGTTTTGGTGTACCAACGCTGTCCAGTAACAAGCATGATGACAGCGACCACCATGCAAGCAAGACAGAGAGCGTACGCTGAAGTGAACCCCTTGTGGAGTTCGAGCCAGACAACCAAGAACCACGACAAAGATCCCAAGTTGCCAATCCAAAAGTACAGGCTGTAGATATACTGTAGCGTAAGCTGTCGATCGGTAATGACCTCTTCGCCTGACTTCAAAGTCTTAACCACTGCCTTCTTCTCAGTGTACTGGTCGGCAATGAAAGGTACCATGATGGCGCGGAATCCACCATTTCCTAACGCAATCAAGCCCATGGCGAGAATGAGCCCGGGTAGCCCCCAGCCTTTGTTAAGCTGACCTGGGATGGAGCTGACTGTCAGTACCGTACACCCGAGGCAGTAGATAATGGCGCTGATGACCAATGTCGTGAAGTGGCCAAGCCAGCTGTCGGCGACAATAGCGAACAGTGTCGGTGCGGTGTAGTAGAGAATGAAGAAAGCGCAGTAGATGCGTGTAGCCACCGACTGTCCGAGGCCAAGGGCTCCAGGTGTCTCACCCGCGTGGTAGTGAGGAGGATGCTGCATGTAGTTCTCTGCATGTTGATCGTCAGCACAACAGGCAAGCTGAAGAAAAAGACTTATGCGTACGCCATGGAGCCGTGATACCCCAGAACGATGCTCTTTCCCAGAATGCGATGATCGCCACGACCCATAGCTGCCAAGGCATATCATCGCGAACGCGGCGCATGTCGCTGGTGTCGGCAAATGTCCGTGATGACCTTGAGCTTGTAGTTATTGATTCGCTAGTTTAATGTCAGCGCAGCCTTGGAGGAGGTATTGTCATGATAACATACCCACTATAGCATGTGATGTTTGGTGTAAGTGCTGTCTTGCGATTTCCACCTGTGGGGACCATGGTCGCTGATGGAAGGTCCTTTCAGAAGACCACGAGAGTAATGCGAGGCCGACTGACAAAGGGCTACGAGTTTTCCCTTCTTGGCTTGTATGAGTCGAGCTGTTTTGGCGGCCCTGAAGTTTGACCCAGCGGGTAAGGTTCCTGCAATCAAAGTGTAGCAATCGCAAAACGCAAAACAACTGTCCTGCAGCCAGGCATACACGGCGTTAAGTAGAAGGGCAGACTTATTTTTGTATCTGGTAGGCAAGCTTTGAGTTTCGAAGGCTGTGTTAAACTTGTGAAGGCAGGCCTGCCTTAGACACGGCGCTTCCGAATTAGTGCAACAAAAGTCTGGTTGATGCTCTTTCTGTGCACTGCGACAACCGTAGGAGACTCCGCACGGGAAGCGGGTTACGGATGCCACCCAATATGGTGTGCTACGCAGATGCATAGCTGGGCATTTCCACTATGACGGCGCTCGCGTTGTACAAGGGCCGTTCCTGTTGCGCCCAGACCTGTCGGCCAGCCCTATTTCGTGAAGATGAGGCTCTGAATGGTCGGAATGTGTGTATACGTCCAAAATGCTGTCCTTGACCAGGCGTATGGCTCAAAAGCGGCTGAAGCGAGCCATCAGGCTTTACACTATTCACATGGGGCCCGTAATACTGCTTCGTTGTGAACGCGTCGGTAGATCAAGGTCTTGTGGCTCCATGCGAGCCTGCACACGCTGTGTAGCAGCAGCGCGTGGGAGAGTTGACGGTCGACAGGCTGCGGCAGTGGTGACGCGCAGAGGCCGATTGCCTTGTGCCAGTCGTCTCGGTGGCTGACTTAAAGCTTCACCGCCAGCTGAGCAATGAGGTGGTGCTGCCGCAAAACTGCACGAAAGTGTGCCAGTCTTGCAGGAGAGCCACAACAGGGCTGATGGCTGCAGCTAATTGATGGCCAAGCCCAAGTGCTCAATAGGCACCTGTCTGCAGGCCATGATGCTGCGTGGTCCGCAAACAAAGATCTCTGTGCGTCGCAGGTCGCACGTGTGCGCTGCATCTCGCCGTAGTCGATGGCGAGCCACATACAGAGCCCCTTAGCAAGGTCAAAGTCAATGTGTGAAGCTTGGGTGGTCTGAAGAATCGTTACTGAGGCTGAGGGCCATTGTTTGTGGAGCCTGGACTCCCGTGGAGGCAGGGGAAGTGGAGAGACGCGGTAGCGAATTGGCGTCATCGCTTCACGGCAGCCGACACAAGCATCTGGAGACATTCCCGACCACTCATCTCGTTTTCATCTTGAATCGCAAGTCATGCATCATTAATTTCCTGGTGGCGCTGCTACGTTACTTGATGTGCAGTATGCCCTAAGTACTCATGATTCCCACAAGTTTCACGTCTCGCGCATGACCAGATCGGAAGGCCACGCAGATCCGCCCCAAACAGCCTCGCCTTTCGATCTCAGCCTCATGATCTACACGTACATGCAGCGCCAGTCGAAAAAAGCCATCCAGCGTCGCACCAGATCTACTAAAGAGTGCGCGGCTGAAACAGGAACACAGTACCGGTATATGAGTTGCACAGCCGGCCGTTGTATGTAACGCTCCGTCCCAAAGAAGTGTCTTCGCCGCATATTAAATCAGAAGGTACTATCTTTGAGAAGATGATATATCGAATCTCCTGCGACTCCAGTCGCAACGCGCAGCACACCCAATCGCGCTTGCAAGCCGTTCTCAACGGACACAGTGGGTGGCATAGTTTCGCATCACCGGCGATATCGCTGCCGCATATTTGCAGCACCTCCATACAAACCGTCACAACAAACGACACGTGTACAAGAAGACCTATCGTAGACACCTACCGACGTCCCGGAAGCTGTAACATCGCCGCAAGGCTGTAAAGGAATACCAGGAGCAGCTCTCTTCGTGCTGAGTTGATGGCTTGACTTGCACACCTGAATTTCGTTTGTCGAACTGTGTGCCATAGATCCACAAGCCCATCTCTTCACCGGTGCCGGGGACAACAACGGCCACCACGACCCTGTCGTTCTGAAGACATATCCTGTAGTTGCGTTTATCTCACACAGCGTGTGTTTCGTGCAGTAGTACCAGTCAAGCGTTGATAGGCTGGTCTTCCTACAAGAACGAACCTTGACTTGCTGCGCAGTGATCAGTCGTGGACGCGATTAAGGCCCCTCGTCATCGTACAGGGAGGGATCCAGTTTTTGTAGCATTAATATTGTCGCACCAGGCCATAATTGTCTTGCTTGTGGTCCGGCTCAGCATTCTCGAGATGATACTGGTACCGACGATCTGAATCTCGCGCGGTATGTATTCTTAGTTCTGCTATTCCCGCCATTCCTTTCGCGCCTGCACAGCCGCTGTCTACAATCCATCAGGCAACAATTTGATGACCTTAGCCGTCAGGTATCCACAGTTGCAGTGATCTTGTTAGGAGTTGGTTCTGTGATTGCGGTCTGCTGCATCACCTGCTCTTCTGGTAAAATCTAGTGCCTATTTCAGAAAGGCGGATATCACATCATAGAAACAATGTTCTTTTCTTAGCGGCAGGCGATCAATTGACTCGAAGCATTGGAGAAACTATGGTCTTGTGGTCGCCTGGAGACTTACAGCACTGCTCGACATCATCTGGGCTATTACGACAGCGTCGGCTTGACTGCGACTCACATACCGCCATCCGTCTGGGATGTCCTTATTGACAACCTTGTCTTTGCTGCAATAATTCATGTCGTTGCCGAACATCATAATCTCAGTACGGTTCCTGTCGACGAAGACAAGTCCTACCCTGACGTTTGTTTCGTCCACCTTCCAGTGATTAACATGGAAAACTGGGTGGAGTTCCGTACTTGTAGATTCTCCATACCTCGAGGCGATCAAATTGATATTTACCTCAATGAGCTCCTACAGTCACAGCACAGCTGCGACTTCAAATGTGACGTCAGACGATCATACTGCCGGCTCGTCGTCACGGTTTTTCTCGTCGACCACGGTGCATCCAGGACATCATGGATATTACACCACGAACCCAGTGATGGTGTGAGCGCAATTCTGTTCCACGAAGCTTTTCTCGAGAGCCTGGAGATCTTCTTGCGAGCGCCGCTGAAGAAGGTCGGGAGACATGTCAGTACTCCCTCGACGCCTCTCGGGCCACCTCTTGAGAATTTGCACAATACGACCGATTCATGGCCATTCTTCCTAAGCGCCGTTGCGGGCTCCCTGCTACCCGGACACCTGAAGCCCAGATCATGGACTGGATCGCCTATTGCACAGAAACATATATCGTCGAAGACCAGAATCGTTACCCTGTCAGTCAAGACAACCAAAGCTTTCGCTGCATTATGCCGTGAGAAGGGTACGAGTGCCACGGTGGCATTGAGCACGTTGCTTCCATTTGAGGTCCAAGCTTGCGCAGGAAGTTGACAAGAAGGGGGCACACAATTTGATGGCGCTTCTCAATTACGTGTCGAGTCTGCAAGCTTAGTTCAGTGAGAAGCTCGGTACACAAAGGGAAGCCACGGCAGAGGTATCGAATCTCGGAGCTTACCGGCCGCATACCCTCGAAGAAGACAACATCTCTCCCATGCATTCACTTCGCCGGGTGGAGAAGCTTAACGCATAGAAAGTTAGCAGGACGGTCCTCAGTCAGAGTCTGAACCACATCTAGCCGCTGAGTAGTCTCAGTGCTGTGACAGGTAGCGATGGGTTTTTGGTGTTAAGCTTCCACTAGCTACAGGACCCTATGAAGAGTGTTGTAGCAGACGTAGCCGCTGTATATATCTATGGAAAACTACGCTGAGTTGCTTGCTAGCTAGGAGGCGACCATATATACATGCCCTGAGACGTGCTAGTGCAAGGTAGCCAACAGAGGTGAGGACTAAGGCCTATAGGAACGACTTGCACCGTAACAAAGATCACCCACCACATTCATCACGAAGAGAGATGGCGAGAAGAGAGGTGATTGAAGACGAGAAGAGGAAAAGAAAGATGAAGGAAATAGTGTGGACGTGATATTTAATCTTTGAACGTGATAGGACATGAACATAAGCTGCGAGCAGCTAATGGACTACGAGCGCCCATATACACCCCTCTCATACACCCACACCTCCTGCACCTTCCCATGACTTTGACCACCCGTCCCCCCTGTCGTATGCTCCTCTCCGGGTGTGACGCGTCTCTCATGCCCTTGTCCATAGTAATTTGCATAGGCCGCAGTCACACTGTCGTGGTGCTCTTTGAAATACCTCTTCACGGATGTCCAGATGCTCAGCTTCGACCATGATGATGTCTTTATGGAAGGCGCCTTGAAGGCCTCCTTGGTGAGCTCGATGGAAGAGCGAGGTGTTGCCACCCTCGAGGAGGTAAATGTAGATGCCATTTTATTGATTTGGCTGGATTTGTAGCAGATTGTGTGAAGTTGAATTGACACGGTCTATTTGACTGGAAGAAGAAGAGCTTAACCGCGGACACGAAGGTATGGTCGTTGGATGCCTGAGGAATGGAGGAGCGTGGGTCCGAGCTGGGCTGATGCGAATTGGTAGGAATGTGGGCGTGGGGATCAGAGTTATGACAAGGGCAAGGCCTCGTGCGATGATGAACGGGGTTGTTGTCGATCAGGCTCAGTGGCCGTGAAGGTTTTGTGTCACAGTGTGGTCGTGTATTCTGCAAGCAATGCAGCGAGATAATTTTCGCGACTACCTCCAACGTTGGACTGACGATGTTCAGAACTAAACCCCGAAGCTTCACACAGAGGACTCTTATACTTCCTCACCTTGTGACATTTTGCCTATGACGGCATCAAGAATCAATTTACGACCCCATCGCTATTATTAAAACGAGACTTAGCTCTTGAAAATGTGATGTTTCTCGTGCGCGCCCTATCACAGGGTGACTGCAGTCACGCCTTTTGCCTGCAGAACCTTAGTGCTGACGCCATAGCCGAGCTGACTGATTGCTGCGGTGAAGCCAGAGATGATCAAGAATAGCCGAGAATGGGTACAAAATTATTGAAACAGAACCAATCTTGTTGCTGGAAGAAACATGTTAAAATAATACTGCGGTTGCTTGCACTGGTCAGTGTGGGGGCCGAAAAGCCTGAGACAGTGAGTTAATGTTCTTGTTTGGATCAGCATGTGATATGCACATGGTGGAGACTGGAGGCGCTGGAATGTGCGAGCAATGCGATCCGACACGGTCACGCCCTACGCTTGGGCCAGCGGCGGTGGAGCTGTCAGTGCCAAATACGCCCTGTGCTTGTCAGGAAACGGCACTAGGAAACGACATCTCACGAAAGCAGTCCAAAGAGCGATTTCGCATGCGGAAGCAAATTCCCACATGGTGTTCGTAGGTTTTCAGATTCCTGTCGGGCATGATTTTGGATGAGGGCACTGGCCGTAGGTGACGGATATTGATGATAAGGTATTGCAATTGTTCAGCCTTGGTATCGCGGATCCAGACTCAGAAAGAGCAACTCATACCTCTCACGGCTTTACAATACTCTGATACGACAGTGTGTTGTCCTTGAAGAACGTCGCAAACGGCTTCGCAGTGAAAGTCGAATCAGTCGTGTTACACACCTTGGTAAAGTCACCGACAGCAACGATCTTGCTCTTGATGATGCTCTGGTACTGCGACAACGGACAAGAGGATCCAGGACCACTGGAACAGTTGACCACCGGGTACGTGACTTCGTTAAGGCGAATGCGCATGTACGCGTCGCTTGTTGAGTTGCCAGTGGAATAGCCAGTCGAAGCAGCAGGGCACGACAAGCGCTCGAAAGCGACGGTGCCGCGCATGGGTACAAGACGACTGGCTCTGAACTTCCGGTTTCGTAGCATCCTGTTAGCAGGAAGCTGAGGCTCGTTGTCGAAGACGCCGATTCCCGCGATGAGCTGGTTAATCTGGCCATCGTTGGAGAATGACGCAATGATCTTGGGAGGGACGAATGTGCCGTTACCAGTCTGGTACGTTGCATTGGGCCCGTCGACGAACCGTTGAACCAGGCCATCGATGACCGGCAGCATGATGTACTTCTCGATGTCTGATCCCAGGCCGTTTCCATACCAGTAGCGAAGATCTTGAGCGTACTCGTACTGAAGGGCTTCCTCTTCAGTGAAAACATCACAGAAGGCGCTACGCCGACCAGTGATCTGGGTCTCGAAACCACACAGGTATGGGATGATAGACACATCCCACTGGGTGAGATTGAAGTCGCCCCGGATGCCGGCATTGAGTCGGGCGCGGATCGGTGGCAGGTAGATACTGTCCCAGACATCTTTGTAGGGACTGCCACCCTCGTCATTGTACGCCTCGCATAGATCGCTAGTAGCCAGCGAGTTGCCCCAGGATCTGGGATCGCTACTATTCAGCGCATAAATAGTACCTAGATCAGTCGCATTGGGGCCCAGAAAGCCGTGAGTAAACATGCGTGCGCTATCCCGAACTCGAGGACCGGACTTGTAGTAGTTGGCCCACATGGTGAACGGAGTGTTGTAATCATACAAATCAGGATAGCGGAGGCGCCAGTTTGAGCCCATCGAAGCGAGCTCCTTATAGCCTGTGGTCGAGATTTGACCAATCTGGTTCGATGGGTCAGAGAGCACCGGCTTCCAGGTCTTCAGGAATTTAAGGCTTTCTTCAGTAATCGTAAGGTTTGATGCGGCTTCAATACGAGAGTAGAGATCCTTCCACTCGTTGTAGGCACCATTATCGGGGTAGCGGCTGCCATGCCGAGAGAAGAAGGCAGCCAGCTCGACTTTGCATCCAGCAGGCACCTCAGACGAGATGCCCGTCACCTCGGGACCTACGATACCGTCAGTGTGACTTCGGCGAGAGCGGCCATTTTATCTGCGAACCAGGAAACCATTGACCGTTTCCTCCAACATGCTGCAGAATGTTGAAGTCGTCAGCTGTTACCGCAGAGATCGCTGAGGCGGCCGCAATAGCGGCGGTGAAGGCTTTCATGGTGCAGCTAGAAATGTGTGATATCAACTGTCGCGACGATCCAACATGACATCTCCGGCAACCTTTAAATCCATGATCAATGCCCAGCCCGGTTATGAGCGTTCGGAGATGAGCTTTAGCATTGTTTCCCAAGCGGGCAGCTCGACAAGGGTGTTTTGTGGGGCCGCTCGAACACGTGGGCCATGCCCGGTGAAGCAGAGGTCACCTCATATCATTAACTCAAACGGCCAAGTTAATGCGGTGTGTGAATGCATCCATCGCGCCTCGATTTAAGAAACGTCAAGATGGATGCGCGAGGCGTGGTAACCTCTGAAGTTAAACTCGGAGTAATCGCCCTTTTGAGAAGGCCCGACTCCCCGTAACCACGTGAGCTTATCGGCATTGGGAGGAAGGAACGTCTTCGCGTCCACACCTTGAATCCTTCACCTATACGCTCTCGAACAACGCCCGAGTAGTGATGCACGCATCGTCGTCCATGGATAACTGACTATCCGACCAATTCTGGGTCCTCCGATTGCCTGCCGAGTATGGTTGAGCAGAAGCCACGCCAGCGAAAATTTGCCCCACGCTCCCGGACAGGGTGCTTGACGTGTCGTGCCAGGCGAAAGCGCTGCGATAATCGGCGTCCCACGTGCGAGAACTGCACACGCCTGAATTTGTCCTGCGACTGGCAAGCACAACGAAAACTAATCCAGGAATCTACGTCAGGGTCAAGTTCAAGTCCTGAAGAGGTCATTGAAAGTGTCCCGGATTCGCTGGGATGCTGGGATTTGCTGCCGGGCGATGCTGGTGCTGAGCGACAACATCTGCTACAGTACTATATCGAGAAGTTCGTACCCAGTGTATCGGTAGCAACAACGCCCGGCAGCTTCTACACTGCGCTGTATATGCCATGGGCTTTTCAAACTGATGGCATGCTCGATGCAATACTTGCTTTGTCATCAGCTCAGCTCGCACGGCGCACAGACGACAAGGATCGCGAGGCACACCTTCGAGCTGTCTCTTTGCGACATCAACGAAAATGCAGCGGATTCATCAAAGAGCGTCTTTCGCCAACTGGGCAGCCGCTGAGGGACACTTACCAAGTCGTCGCTATCATTTTACTGTTAGTGGGGCTGGAGGCACTCAAAGGCAACAAGAGCACGACATGGATCCAACAGCTCAAATGTGTGCGCAAGATTCTGGACACTATATCTCCGGAGCAGAGCATCATAGACTGCCTCGAAGTGGACTCGCTACATCGGCACTTCACCTACCACTATGCAATGGCCTCCGTCATGTCCCAGGTGTCTGTGTCAGCGACTCCGTCAGCGCCCACGCTCGAGCGGGATCTACTGCCTATGCTGAATGTCGCCATGCCACTGACAATCGACCCATTGATGGGCATTGCATACCAGCTGTGCGACCTGATTAGTAAGATCCAACACGTCGTCAATCCGGATCCAGCCTTCCCACAGCTCACGGAAGCAACATTCAATGCAATTGAGAACGGGATTCAGACGTGGACATATGAGAGTCCTTTCTCTTCGGGTGTGGATCTCCCAGTTGCACTGGATTTGATTGCACTGGCTGAATCGTACCGCCTGTCTGCTTTGATTCAACTGTATCGCAACTCACAAATTCACGCACCCCTCGTGCCTGGTTGCGCCGCACGCGCAATGGAGTTCATTATGAGGATCCCGCCTGGTAGTCCTGCAGAATCGAGCTTGCTTTACCCAATTTTCATGGCTGGCGCTGAGCTTGACAGCGAGGTAGCCATCGATCGTCTGACGCAGAGGCTGAAGGATATCTCGGATCGCAATCGCTACGAGAACATTGATAGCGTACAAAAAGTGCTCAAGGAAGTCTGGCGACCGAAGCTAGAGGGAGGTACACGAAGGTGCTGGGAAGATGTCCTTCGAGAATGGGACTGGTCCTTCACACTTGGCTGAGGTACACTCGCGGTCCGAAGGAAATCTTCAAGCTCGCCTGAGATATTTTGGCTGAGCACAGCCGACACCAGACGCCTATCTCAAGTGGAGATGTGCACTTGACGTCGTGCACACTTCGCATGCTCCTCAGATCTCGATGAGCCGAGACTAAGCGGTACCCCTCATTTGTGGCCGCGTCTCCAGCAGCGACACGTCGAACTACCCCGCAAAACTGATGGATTCAGACGAAGCGACTCTCTATAAGACTGTCCAAGTACCCACCATTGGTTGTGGACTAGTCGACTGCACAATCGAACGGGCTTGCCCACCACCTTACACTCGAGTCTCGCATCCGCTTGAACCTAGAACAAGAGGGGTAAGGGGTTCATACGGGTACTTGTATGTACCCAATGACCTCCTTGCTTTCCCTGAGCGCCAACATCGGATTGAAGCATACAGTTGACAAAGTATAATGTCGGCCCCGACCGGAAGCATCCCACTCACATCTGTGGCCCTCAACTTCGGCCAGACTCCGGACCTCTCAAAGCTACGAGGCGGATCTGCATTGATCACCGGTTCGGCAAGGGGTATCGGTCTTGCATGTGCCACAAAGTTGGCGGAAGCTGGAGCACTTGTCACCATCTCAGATATTCGATTCAAGGCGGGAGAAGCAGCTGTACGCGAGCTAACCTCGAGAGGCCTTCATGTACAATTCGTGCAGAGCGATGTCACTTCGTACTCGTCGCAAGTGGAGCTCTTCAAAAAAGCCATCACCTTCGGCGGGGGCAGGATCGATGTCGTCGTACCGAACGCGGGCATCTGCGCAGAGCAGAACCTCTTCGACATGCTACCGACCGGCGCATCAAGCCTTGAGGACGAACCCCCCGAGCCAGGCTACAGTACGATGGATGTTAACCTTAAGGGCGTGTATTACACCTCCTATCTCGCCTTGCATTACTTCCGCTTGAATCGACACTCGGCTCTTGCTCCATCACTCGTCCTCATCGCCTCACTTGCTGGATACGTCGGCTTTCCTTCTAGCGCAACATACAGCATGTCCAAGTTCGGGGTCCGTGGAATGTTCTTCGGCACACGAGACCGCGCTGCGGCAGCCAACCCTCCGGTGCGCGTCAACCTTGTAGCGCCCTGGTTTATATCAACTGCAATGACAGCGGACGAAACATTTGTTGCCAGCGAGGCTGGTGCTATGATGAAGACGATGGGCTCAGCTCAGCTCGACGGCGTTGTGCAGGCTGTAATGCACTTCAGCGCTGACGAGACTGCGCACGGACGAGCCGCTGGAATCTTTCCGCAAGGAGTTTACGATCTCGGCGACGATCTTGAGGGCGGATTCGCAGGGCAGAGGACACAACAAGGCATGCTAGAAATCGTAGCAGCAATGACAGCTGCGACGGACAAGCAAACCGAGGAATTGAATTGACAGGAAAGTGTGACTGGAACAGAGAGCGGCAACTTTTTGGGCATGGCAAAGTAATGCACGGATAGGGCGACGCACTGTCGTGCTCACTGTTCTTACCGCTGCCATTTGGCCGCTAGTTTGAGCAGTAATGAACTTCATATGACGACTTGCGAACTCTAAGCATGATGCCGTAGTTTCAAGAGTGTCTTTGTCCACCGCTACCGCCGCGGTTGAGAACATTTGTACTTAGCTGTACGCTTTACAGACCTGACAATTGACGTACCTGGCCTGGGCCTTTTCGTCATCATCATCGGTACCTACACCACGGAGGCTGGCTCTCACAGCATTGTTGTTTGAGTAACGTACCCCACGGGCGAGCCGCTCACCGAGCGAGCCGCTCACTTTTGCTAAGCCCCCAAACTACCCTTCACATTCTAATGCCTCCTCAACAACACTAGTCAGATGCGTTGAAGGAAGTTTAGGTACAGCTTGCGCTCCAGGCTCTTAAACAAGACGCGAATCTCTCTCAGCAACGCGCTGCAGCTATCTACAGGGTCCCTCAAAAGACACTAAGCGACCGACACGCAGGACAACCTTCACGCGCTAATTCTATAGCCAACTTGCAGAAGCTGGGCAACAATAAGGAAAAGGTGATTGTTAAACATGTTCTTGAGCTAGATGCGCAAGGATTTTCCCCTCAGCTCTTAGATGTGGCTACTATGGCCGATTCTTTGCGCGCTGAGCGCAATCTGGGCCCTATTAGCGCAAACTAGCCTAGTACGTTTGTTAAGCAGCACCTAGAGCTTAAAGTCAAGTTTAATCGCAAGTACAACTACAATAGAGCCCTCTGTAAGGATCCTGAGGTTCTACAGGGCTAGTTCAGCCTAGTGTAAAGGAGCTGGCCGCTGAGGGCTAAGTGCAAGTAAAATTCAGATGGAATTGATGCAGGCTCTGGCTTAAAGACTTCTAGTGGTTTTTGTTCTCTGGCGCGGAGTCTGTATGCCAATACTCTCCAGTGTGGAGCTGAAGTGCTGACAACCTCTAGTGTGGAGCTTCAGCGCCAACACTCTCTAGTGTGGAGTTTTGGCAGCCTCTGCTTGTGCGTTTGTTAGCTTCCAGCAATTAAGGCCTCTAGTGCTGAGACCTTAGCACAGACCTAGCCTATTACAGTACTCTCCTACTATAGCTTTGTTTATAGGATTGTTTTTAAGAACAATAATTAGTCTCTAAACTCTGTTTTGCATAACCTTTGTTCCTAGACGTGTTACCGGTTACTTCTGCGCCTTAAGCTGTGCTATACCTGTTATAATTTCCCTTGTCTATCTATGTCCCTCTGCTGCTCTGCTTATTAATTAAATTCTAAACCTAACATGCCTGTTATAAGTTCTACTATTTAGGTCCTTTAACGTACTTTACAAGCGAGCGACGCGTACAAGCGAGCGACGCGCCCCACCAACTTTGCCTGCCTTCTTGAGCGTATAACTCAACCACGATATATAGTTATATATAGATATTTATATAGCAGATTAAGAAGTATCTATAGAGTCCTTTTTGCACGTACGTGAGTTGTGGCCAGTCTCTCTGCACCTCGTGCAGCGCGTCAGAGCCTGGCGGCTGAGGCCTGATTGCTCTCCTCCGTGACGCTCTTCACGCGCAATCTGCTGATCAGCCTCACGTTGAGCAAGTATATCCTCTCCAGCTCCCTTTGTTAAGACTCCACGCTTCTGGAGTCGCTTTTTCTTGCGTTTTTTTCGCTCTGACGCTGCCTCATTGGCACTCTCTAGGCTGGCTATCCGATCGCGCATAAGCTCAGCAGAGAGCATCATCACCTCAGCTCCTTTCTTAAGCTGATCAATCGCTTCAATAATTGAGGCAGGTGAGGAGCTCCTGTGCTTTCTTACGCGCTCACGAATTAACGTTGATTGAGCCTCAAGCTCACGTACGTTGCTTGGCGTACGAGCCTCCCAGAGAGCCTCTGGCAGAGCAGCTAGAGGAGGCGTGCGCAGCTTCACGTCTAGCTTTAACAAAACAACGTCAGGATGGAGAGGGACAAGGCCTGCGCCTTGGAAGGCTGAGCAGATATTGGCTGTTGTGAACGCGCGATCAAAGGCTGCCTTGAACGCTGGCAGAAATTCAAGCTTGGTGATGTGGTTGATGTGGTGGCGGATCAGAGCCTCAATCTCACGGCTGTACGCGCGCTTCAACGGCGAGAAGCAGCCAACGTCAAGTGGCTGCAGCAGGTGAGATGAGTGAGGTGGCATGCAGAGCGTGTAGATATTGTTCTCCTTGCAGAGCTCTTGAAATTCAAGAGAGTGGTGGCTCTCGTGGCCATCAAGGATAAGCAGGCAATGTGCACCTACGCAATGAGTCTTAGTATGGGCGTGAAAGTGCTTTAGCCACTTAACTCCAAGCTCGTTATTCATCCAGCCATTGTCGCTGACTGCAATTGCCCAGTCGCGTGGGATCTCTGCCTGCTTGTACCAGGCAGATAGGTGATATTGGCCAGCAAAGATAAGGAAGGGTGGGATTATCCAGCCAGCAGCGTTGATCGCAGCGATAGCTGTTACCCACTTGCGATTACCAGGCTGAACAGCCTTTGGCCGGCCTCTCCTCTCTGATCTAGTCACGACAAGCTAAGTTGTGATCTTGCCTATTATAAAGCCAGCCTTATTAAAGTTATAGACGTCCTTATCACAGATGCTGTACTTGGCCTTCGTCTGCTCCACAAGCCTGAACTAGTCTTAGATAAGAACAGGGTCCTCGCATAGAGCTCTCTGCCTGTCGTACGCTCTGTTGAAACGCGTTGTGAGAGAGTCTGTACGCTTGACAAAGTTGCGTGGCCAGTGGACGCCGACGTGACCTGCGCTGCGCGCAGCTAGCAGCTTATCAGCCATATCACGTACAGCTGCGTACGTAGGCGCAAATCCACGTTGATCTAGATCCAGTATATAGCTTGTGATCACCTCCTCCTCGCGCTGGGTAAGCTTCTTTGAGTTGGGCTGGCAATCGCGTCGTGAGGGCCTGCCAGCGCGTCAGTGGCGGAGCGTTGCTTCAGGAACGTTGTAGATCGTGGCAGCAGGACGATTGCCCTGGATCTGTTTAGTGTTGATAGATAAGATAGCAAGCTGAATATCTGCTTCATTTAAAGGCAATTGAGTAACGTTGCGTGGAGCCATTATACGTTGAGATGGAAGAGGCAGGCAAAGTTGGTGGGGCGCGTCGCTCGCTTGTACGCGTCGCTCGCTTGTAAAGTACGTTACTGTAGATAGCACTTATGTCCTGTTGTACTGCGTTAGCTTTATAGTGCTACTATTTTCTTACTGTAGCTAATGTTAAGAAGGACAAGTCTCGTGCTAAGAACTGTTGTTACGCGAAGACGTTAGTTGCCTCTAGCATCCTGCTGTCTAGCGCGTTAACTGCAGCCAACAGGGAGCTTTTCCCTGCTAACATGCTTGCCACCCTGCAGACTGTCACTGAGCGCAGCTCTGAGTCTGCCTAAGACGCGTCTGTGCCTAATCTAGAGGTGTATATTAACTATATGCTTAACTAATAGGTTTGTGTCTTTAATAGCAAGCTGTCTTGCAAGTTCTTCTGCAACAAGAAGCGCACTTGCTACAAGGTATGTTCTCTGCTTCTGCTTAATAGCTTTCTGTAATTTAGCTTAAGTTATTTAGCAGCCTCCCTACAAGACCTTTAAAGCTTGCATGCGTGCCTGCTGTCTCTATAAAGTGCTCTCTAATAACAACTACTGTAAGCACAAGCTACTAATTAGCAACCTTACCCTAGACGTTGCTGCAGATCTTAAGCACTAACTAGAGCTCCCCTACCTTCACGACCTAGCGTCGTAGCCTAGTATCTCTAGCTACAATAGTAAGTAGTCTAACTACAAGGACAAGCTTAAGGCTAAGCTTGCTAACCTAGATAGTGCTCTTGGTGTTACTAGGAAGGCTCTTGAGACCTCTGTTATGTAACGGTCTAGACTCTAAAGCTAAAGAAGAGCTAGAGCTAGCCGGTTACATTAGCTTAGCCGGCTTGGCTAAAGCTGGATATATATTATCTACGCAGTTAACTAGACGTCTAGTTAACTTGTGCATGCTTTTTAGCAAAAGTTGTTAGGAAGTAGATATCCTTTATTGGCCTTTGGCCAGACCACTACATGTTAAGGCTATAGCTGTTTTTAAGGAGCTAGGCAAGGACATTAAGGAGCTTGTCTTCTAGATAAATCTAGTTGTAAGTGCATTCTCTAGGGTCTTGCTCCTTGTCCTTGTGCTGACATTGTCTTTGCGCTGGTAAACAATAGTGCTGACCACACGCGTTAGCTTAGTGCGCTTAAGGAGCTTGCTAGGGCTTGTCTCCCTAAGGGTGCTGGTTAACTTGCTAATTCTGTTAGCAAGGCTGCTGTCAATACCCTTAGCTAGCAGAGTAAAGAGCTCTGCTAACAGTTCTAGGGTTTAGGCCAGGATAGTAGTTGTCAAGCCTCAGCTCCGGCCACTGAGACAAGCAAACCAAAAGGTAACATGGCTCACACTGATGGTGAGCCTGCGCCAGAACAGTACTGATATCGTAAGACACAGGTCAGAGGTAGCTTTGCTACATGCCTTGGTGTCACGGGTCAGAGGTGGCTTCGCCACATGCCCAGCCTGACAGTAGTGATGCCAACGCAGACAACAGTTCTGCCTCTCCCTAAAGAGGTTAGTGTTGTCCTTGCAGTCTTTTAGAGTTCTCAGTGTCCCTGTAGGTACCTAGCCTAAGTGCTAATTATAGTCTTGTCTTCTTATTCACGTGTTTCCTCTATTCTCCTGCTCTTCCCTCCCCTTCTGCATCTTCTACAGTAGAAGATAGCTTCTGTTTAATCCTTCTAAGCTACCTAGTAGGGTAGCTTGTAATAAAACTCTACTAGTAAGTTCCTGTCCTTGTCCCTCTTGTCTACTGTGTAGGCTAACTAATAGTCTAGTGCTTCTAGGTTTTTGCAAATTTTGCTTAGTTGCTAACGTACCTCACGGGCGAGTGGCCGGCCCGGGCGAGTGACCGGATTTTGCCAAGACCACACCAAACTTCATACAACCTGCAATGTCTCAACGCAAAAAGGCTTAAAGTGTCTTAAAGGAACTAGATATATAGCTTGCTATTTAGGCTCTTAAACAAGACATGACTCTTACTATTTCACGCGCTGTAACAATCTACAAGGTGTTAGAAAGAACACTAAGACAATAACGTGCTAGAATGCTCTTAAGACGCGATTGTAAGGTTAACTAAATAAAGCTAATAAGCACTAAAGAGGAGGTGATTGTGCAGCATGTTCTAAAGCTAGACAAGCAAGGATACCTACCCTAGCTTACTAATGTAGAGGACATAACTAACTCTCTGCTTACTAAGTGCCACTAGCCTCCTGTTGGCAAGAACTAGGCTAGCACGTTTATTAAGCGTCGCCTAGAGCTCACAGTTAAGTTTAATTAAAAGTACAACTATAAGAGAGCCCTCTGCAAGGATCCTAAGGTGATCTAGGGCAAGTTCTGCCTAGTAGAGAATACTAAAGCTAATTATAGTATCTAAGATAAAGACACCTACAATTTTAACAAGTCTAGGTTTATAATAGGTATTATATTAATAGGAGCTGTTATTACAGGCTTACAGCGTTGTAGAACACTAAAGATAGTATAGTAGGGCAACTAAGAGCAGACTAGCATTATCTAAGGTATTAATACGTTAGGATAGAGTATCCTACCCTTTATTATCTTCTAAGGCAAGCACTACCTCTCTGCCTAGTATAAGGAGCTGTTTTTACCTTATAACTAGGTTATTACTATCTCTAAGAATAGCTAGACTAATAACAAGCTTAGTATTAAGTAGCTAAAGCACTTTAATAAGCACACAAAGGAGCGCACTGTTAGCAGCCATTAGCTGCTTCTTGTAGACAGTTACAAGAGCCATAACTTAGTTAAATTCTACTAGTACTGTAAGGATCACAAGATTATTACTCTATGCATGCCTCTACACTTGTCACACCTGTTGCAGCTACTTAACGTAGGTTATTTTACCCTAATAAAGAAGGCCTATAGTTGCTAAGCTAAGCTACTAATGCATAACAAGATTACTTATATTACAAAACTTGAGTTTTTACTGTGCTTTAAAGGAGCTTTTAATGCCTCTATTACTAGGAGCAATATCTAGGGAGGATTTAGAGGTGCTAGCTTGGTCCTCTTTAATCTAGCGGCTGTAATATTAAAGCTTAAAGTGCGCCTATGTACTCTACTACTACCTACTATAGATAAGAGTATATAGCGCTCTTAAACCCTACAGAATACACTAGAATATAGGTTGCAATTAAAGCTTATTTAAGAGAGGATTTAATAATATAGCAATAGCTCTCTAGCTTTAATAGTTAATGCTCTTAATTGGCTCACTAAGGGCGCAGAGATAATGGCGCATTTACTAGTTTTAGTGTGCAACTAGGTCGCAGGGCTTTAAGCTGCTAATAAGGCAGCCACACGCTGGAATTTACACAAGAGGAAGCAGATCTAGAGGGAGGGGACTCTTACTGTTAGTAAAGGAGTGCGCTTAACTACCATATACTATAATTCTTAAAAAAAGTACCTAAGTTTCTTAAAAAGTACAGTATCTAGAGAACTAGATAAGAAATAAAAAGGATTTTAATACTAATGTTAAAGCTGCTATACTAGTTACTATACTATATTTTAATATTTAAGTTTATTACTAAGGTTTAAAATTTCTCAGTCTACTAGTTAAAAAAATAACTACCTTAAATAATAGGAATTTTAAATAACTTCTTACTATAAAGTTATAGAGAATTAAAATTAATCTATAGTAACTCTAATAAAGTACTTCTATTTCTTATCTAGCTTTGTAGATACTAGATTTTGCTACTTTTACTAGTAAAAAGCGGGCGTTGCGTGACTCCGGGCGTTGCGCGCACAGACACGGTACCGTAATTAGATCAAAGGATTCTACGGTACAGGAGTACCGTGCATAATCCTTCGGTTTCTACAGAACTGTGACGCTACGCTAACACGTCTATGGTCCAGAGCTATAGGTGGTTTGATTCTCTTGTGGAACACGTCCAACATCATTGCTGCACTCTTTATCTGCCGACCGCTGTCCAAGAATTGGAACTTTGCCATGCCTGGAACCTGCGGTAGCCAGCCATGGTTCTATTCCGCCATGGGAATCGGGATTTTGCAGCATCTATAGAGTTGAGGAGTTATATTGTATTACTGCTTTCAAGTGTGTTGCTTTTCACGGCATGTAAAATTGCGACGCGTCCTACTTAATAACGAGCTGCCCGAACCTCCTACTGAATAATCCCTAGTTGTGTTCTGATTTCGTCGCGTCACTCTTGTAGACGTAGTAATAGGTGCATAGTCGGTTTTTTAAGTCTGGTTTAGACTCGCCATAATGCTCGATATGATGGATTGACTTATTCACCATGTCGCGTACAGAATCTTGCCGCGAAATGAATATGTCGGCCGGGACAACTCTTTGTATGCCGACTAGTGGGTTTTCTAGCTCCCAGTATCGTTTGGCCGGTAGCAGTCGAGATATTCCAGTCTTGCTCACTCTATTTTCTGAAATCTCAATGGTAGGACTGGTCCAGCCTAAGAGACAAGGCTCCTGATCAGTGTCACGCGCGTTGAGCCTCCCTAGAAGATGGGTGTTGACCCGAAGATAGTACACATCTTCACTGGGCATGTCCAGCCACAGATAACGTTTCTTTTCCCAAATGCCCCCTTCGACTAAGCTACTAGCTTCGGGCGTACCTTGCAAGTATTCGTACGCGCGAGCATACTTGACCAGTACACCAGAGTCAGTCTCTTCGACCGCATATTCAAAGATGTGGGTGTTGCTACCATCAAAAATGCCCACATACATGCAGAGCATAGATTGTTCATGACAAGAGTTTTGCGAATCGCCGAATGGGTCCAGAATTCGCAAAGTCGACTTGCTCCATACAATTGGAGCCAATAATCCATGATGCGGTCTCTGCAGAGTCACTTGTGTGACGTTGTCTTCAAGACTGCCACGTTCGTTGACGTACTGTAACTTGTCGTCCTTCCCCGCAGGTCGGCGCAATTCCAGAGCCTCGATCAAAGTTGCACCAAAAGCTAAAACACCATCAATAGCTTCGCCTTCCATTGATTGACTGAGGACATCCCGAAATAAACAAATCGGTGTCTTCTCATAGTCGACCTCAATACAGGGTCGAGGGTTCGCGAGTGAGAGCAGGGCGAATATTCGATCTCGTGAATCTTGACAGCCGCTGTAGACGTAGAGAGACAGTAGAGATGACAACGAACAGTCTCTCTCTTCGCGAAAACGTGTAGTCGTGGGATCCCTCCCCTCGAAGTACTCTTGACCAAGGAATTTGGGCCATGCGAAGTGCAATTGACCGAGCAATTGGCTATCCTTGGCTATTTCTGTGAGTAGAGGGGCTAAGTCAGCCATTTCCCAGAGCGCGCTGCCAGTAAACAAGAAGACCCTGGATTTACGAGGCAGTAGTACCTCTTGGGCAATCCATGTCCGTGTCCAATATGATGACATGTATAAAGCTTCCACGTGGCCTTGTAAGCGTATCTGTTTGGTGATTTCCTGATCGTTTAGGTATTCTCTCATGTCCCTAGCAAACGTTCTGTCCTCCTCATCAGAGGATTCCAAGAATTCGCTTTCGGTCCATCTGTTCTTAGCCCAAACGTCCTTGAAAGACTGTTGGAGTTCCTCAGGAAGGACTCCGAGCCAGACTATCACTCTTACTGCATTCCTGTAAATTTCACCCATTTGACTGACCTGATGGTTTTTCTCAACAACATTAGATTGGTCGATGCAAAGCGCATCTATCCAGAGCGGCAAAGATATTTTGCCTCTCTTTGCTGAAGGCTGAGACCCCATAAAATTGGTGTAAACTCTGAGAAATTCGTACAAGTTGTGTCCAACCGAGTGAGAAAGGCCGTTTACTTCGATAGTACGTTGCGGGTTGCAAGGCTGCCATGTGTACGACAGGCAAGCATACGCTACATCTCTCCTATTGATATGCCGCATACTGCATCGAATGGTGGTATCCGATGACTGAGGCACGAGCTCGATAACGCGAATAGAGTCGACTGTATAGTCTAGGGGATCGTAGATGAAAGTTTCGTAGCTCGTCATAGCGGCATTTTCAACAGGCGGTTGATCTGAGTTGTGAGGTTTCGACATCTTAGTAATCCTGTTGGCCTTGGTGTTTCCCTGTTGGGCTATGTGGAGAGCTTGCCTGTAAGATGAAATTGACATAACAGACGAGGATTAAGAGGCACGCTGCGAGCCTTGTTGCGAGGTTAGGAGATTGGTGCCTATTTCTGCCTTGGTAACGTGGGGTTTACTGTGTCCGTGCGCGTACCGGGGTACCGTGTCCGTGCACGGAATGCGCGGATTCACCGAATGCGCGCGATTGGCCCTACTAGCGCAAGCAAACATGAGGCTGTAGAGCCACCCACAATTAATCAATGTATATAATCTGTAACGGTTGAGAGGAGAAGCGGATCACGTGTTGTTGGCGGTGGTCTGGTGTTACTTCCTCATGTTGTTGAGCACCTCTTACCTTGGCTGCGTTACAAAGACGTCATCAAAACAAACCCTGCAACAAGCCTTAGAGAATATAGATATAACAACAACAACAACACAGAACACAATACACTTGTTATATACATTTTCTCTTCATACTGCAATAGTTATAAGCCTAGATTGCGACTAGTTAGCTTGCTTACTTACAACAACTAATTAGCACCTATAACGTACTCTATCACCGAGCCGGTCATATCACCGAACCGGTCACTTAAAATCCCACCAAAAAACACAGAAACCATACCCCTGCATCTTAATAACTACTTAATGGAATCTTCTAAAAACTTCAGAATAGAGCTGCATCTATACTA